GAACTTTCTATATCCAGGGTCCTAGTTCCTGCGTTTTTTCTTCTGGTCCTTATTAGCATTTTTCACTTTAAAAAATAAAAATATGCACTACAGTTGCCAAGTTTAAATTAGTGGGATAAGACGCCCTACCACAGAAGTAAAACCAAAATAATGCTCATGTGATGTCCCTTGAGGTGGTGCACAGGGGCTCAGGACCCTTGGCCACCTGCTAGGCAGGGAGAAGACAGGGAGGGAAGGGCTCCCTCCTCACCCAGGACAAGTGGGGACAGGCCAGGGTGCACCATCTGAGTCCATCAGAGGCAGCTCTGGCAGATCCTCTCTGGAATAAGAATAGAAATGAATTTTTTATTTTAAGTCGGTTAAGTTTCTCTGAAATTCACATCAGTCAACACCCAGGTCACAGCTCCCTTCATCCTCTCTTGGTAGGATTAAGGGAAAGTGTTGAGAGAGCCCTGCCTTCTCAGAGTGTGGCTGGGCGGGCTCCCGTCTGGCAGGGAGGTGGGTGCTGGCCCATGGTGCCCACAGCTCCTACCATATCCTTCTTGCTTCTCTGCAGAGAATCTGGATGATACTAGAGAACAGAAAGAAGAGAGTCCTCCTGACCAGCCTGCGGTCCCCCACCCGCCTCCCAGCACTCCCATCAAGCTGGAGGAAGGTGAGCTCTGGGTGGCAGTGGCTGCCCCAATGTGGGAGGGTGCACGGCTCGTGCGCGCTGTGACTCAATGTGGCGGGAGTTGTGTTAACACCAATGCAGAAGTGTGTGCTTGCATCAACGCCAGGACGTGACACCTTCTCTCTCCTCCTGTGCTGGTTCTGTCCTGGGTAACTCCAGGCAAAACAGATTTGTAAGTGAGCTGTGACCAGGTAGGAAGGCCGACCTCAGGGGTCGGAACCCACCGTGGTTGCTGGTGTCCGCAGTGCCCGTTGCTCGCACACACCTCATGCCGTGTTGTCATGCAGACCCCACCTCCGGAGGTGCCCTCCGCTGTGTGAACCGCACGCCGGCTGTCTCTCAGCCACCGTGTGTCTGTGGTGTGTGATACCGGGTGTCTGTCCCTTGGTCTCGTACATCTGTGTCTCTCGTGAAGCCCGTGGCCCTGCCTTTCTTCTTCTGTAACCCGATGGCTGTGACTGAATGCATAGATTCTCTCCTTGTGCTTTTTCTTCCTGTGGCTGCGTCACAAACAGGAGACGGCTGCGCTAGAGAGTACCTGTTACCCTAGTAAGTACCGCGCCGCCTCCGCTCTCCGCCGGTGCCCTGTGCTTTGCCTCATTCTCCTGCTGCTTTGTTGTTGATTAAGTTTTGTTTTCTGTTTATTTAAAATAAAAACAGAAAGCCCCTTTTTTTGTACCCAGTCCCTTGGAGGCCTTTCTGGAAGCGGCTCAGTCACCTGAGCACTGTGCTGCCTTCAGCGGTAGCGGGCGCTCCCTCGGGACCTGTATACACCTAGGTGTGCCGCCGGGCCACTCTGGGCCTCAGAGGTCCTTACCTCCGGCCGTAGAGGGTCTCTTGGGATTGCTTGGTGGGAGGGTTTTACCATCTTGGATCCGACGTAAGTGCAGCTTAGTTCAGATAGGGCAGGGCTCTGCCACCTGCTGCGTGGGGTCAGACTGCTTTGGACCTTTGCTGAAGCTGGGACTGGGAATTGGAGGTGGGCAGAGGAGCCGATATTGGATCCTTTTAAAGCAGTGTGATGTTGGCTCAGATGATAGCTCTCCAGAGCAAGCGCCCTGGGGCGGCCTCCGTCCTAGCATCAGCCGCACCTCCTCCGGGGAGAGGAGAGGCACCTGTGTGCCCACAGCCCTCTCCCTGGCCCTGAGGAAGTGGGGCCCGGAATTAGCACGGTCAGCTGGTGGGGTGGTGGCGCTTCCAGCCTCCCAGAGGTAAAATACTGAGGGTTTAGAGCCAGGGCCTCCTATGCTGCTCCTAACCGCTCAGCTGACTCCCCCGGCCGTGATGTGTGGCTTGATTTTTAAACACTAAACAGCTTGTGGTGCCTAACCTGTCAGTCGCTGGTAACTTTGTAGGCTGTTTACAAATGGACAAAGCGGGTGCCCATGTGAGTGTAGAAGGAAGGTACCCCTAGGTCGTGTCCTTAGGGCCACTGTGCTCCCTCACAGATGTCCACTCCTGACCCTCACTGGCTGGAGTTTTGGCCCCCACTCCTTGCCTTACGGGCCATCTCTTTCCTTTTCATTAACTTCCAGCCTAAACGGTTTTCTGGATGTTGACATCACACACGTGCGTGGGAGTTAAGCACGATTTTCTACTGACTGTTTTGGGGGAGACCAGGTGTTGTAGACCCAGGTTTACATGCCCTTAGGGTGACCAGGCAGCCTTCTCTTCACATGATGATAACGGGACATCCTCCTTCAGCTGTCCTTAGGTCGTGCTGCTGTCTTTCTGGCGGCGGGACCCAGGCTGGGATGGGGTGTGGTGTCAGCACACTGCCCACCAGAAGCAGCTAAAAACCGCCCCAAGACCATCCAGCCTTAGAGTAGAGTAGATCATGTTACGTTTCTTGTCTTAGTAAAAATCCATAGAGTAAAATGGCAGTTTCCTGTGTGGGGAGCCCCCATCTCAAGCTGGGCAGGACCCCTTAACCCCATCTCTCACCTCACCCACCAGACCTTCCGCCGGAGCCGACGACTGGAGATGACAGTGATGCCGCCACCTTTAAGCCGACTCTCCCCGATCTGTCCCCTGACGAGCCTTCAGAAGCACTTGGCTTCCCAATGTTAGAGAAGGAGGAGGATGCCCATAGACCCCCAAGCCCCACTGAGGCCCCTGCTGAGGCCAGCCCCGAGCCAGCCCCAGCCCCAGCCCCAGCCCCAGCCCCAGTGGCGGAAGAGCCTGCCCCCTCAGCTGCCGACGAGGGGGCTGCTGCGGACCCTGGCAGTGATGGGTCTCCAGGCAAGTCCCCATCCAAAAAGAAGAAGAAGTTCCGTACCCCGTCCTTTCTGAAGAAGAGCAAGAAGAAGAGTGACTCCTGAAGGCCCTGCGCTAACACTGTCCTGTCTGGAGTGACCCTGGCTCTGCCAGAGTCCCCGACTAGTCTCGTGCTCTGTCCTTGTGTAATGGAATGCAAAAAGCCAAGCCCTCCGCTAGCTAGAGCTCTCCGTCACGTGACCAGCCCTGTGCGTCCCGGGGCTGACCGAGTGTGTGCTCTGCAGCCCCGCCCCACCCTGCCCCTTATCCTCTCTGCCTCAGCTTCTGAGGAAGACCTGGTCTCCCCACAGGTGGGAGGCACTAAGTCATGGTTCTGGCTGGAACGTACTAGAGGCTTCTGCCAGTTTTGGCTCCAGGTGTCACCCTCCTGAGTCTTCACCTCTCCCGCTGTCCTACCTGTTATGAAATCACCACATTCTGTCTCTGCTTGGCTTCCCCTCCACCCTAAGGTCTCAGGTGACGAACTCAGACTCCTGGCTTCATGTGGCATTCTCTCTGCTCAGTGATCTCACTTACATCTATATACAAAGCCTTGGTCCCGTGAAAACACTTGTGTGCCCACCAGCGGCCTTGAAGAGGCAGGTCTGGGCCAAATGCTGGGCAGGAAATGCCAGCAGCAGATGGGCCTGTGTGCACCCAACATGACGCTATGCATGGTCTGACCAATGATCCCTTGACCAGAACCGCATTCAGGAGCTCAGTTTCTTTTTCACTCGGGCCCCTGGATTCCTGTCGTAGGGAAGGTATATCAGGAGGGGAAAGAGTCCTTTCTAGAAGTTTCTTTCAGCAGGTTTACAGTTTAGCTTACATTTTTGACTGTGAACATGAACAGGCTGCTTTTTGCTTTTTTCTTTCCAGACCCCGCAGCAGAGCACTTTTCACTTACTTGGGGGAAGTTTCAGGGAATCTGTTCTCCCCTTAACTCGGCCAGAAAGATGCCCTAGTGTGATAAACGGTAAGAAGGTGGAGGGCAGCCCCGGGGCCTCTCACCGTCTCCGTCCTCCGTGCCCTGCTTGGCTGGTAACTGTTACTCTCACTTCCCTGGAAAAGGGCTCAGAGCTGCTGAGCAGGAACTGGAGGGTGATCCATTTCAGGAGCTGCCCCAGGACCAGCCTGACTAGGTGCAGGCCAGCTTGTGTGGGACAGGCCCCTGGTAGAGCTGGTGCCAGACGTAGGCTCAGGTCCTGGGCATGACGGGCCAAGCCACTTTGGGTCCCACCGATTGGACGGCCGTGCGAGCACTGGGCTGCCACATGGCACTGACCGCTGCCTGGAGCTGCTCTCTGAGCCGCAGGGCCTGCTACGTGGGCAAGCGCGCTGCTTTTCTTACGTGCTGTTTTGTTGCCAAGGCAGAGTGAAAGTCCTTAACCGTGGACTCTTCCTTTACCCCTCCTTTTATCCCTTCCTTTATCCCACATATGCAATGACTTTTAATTTTCACTTTTGTAGTTTAATCCTTTGTATTACAACATGAAATATAGTTGCATATATGAAAACAGACTTGGAAGGACAGGTCCTGAATGTCCTTTCTCCATTGTAACGTTTTACTCACAAATAAAATTCTTTAAACAATTTCCGTGTCTAACCCTGGGAAGCAGTTTTACATTTTAATTTCTTTTTCCCAGGTTTGTCTCCTGCGCCGAAAGGAGACCTCCTGAGTGTTCATGTCTTGATAAAATGTCATCTACAGCTGTGGGTGCAGGAAGACGTGCCAGCCCAGCACTCCTGTTGTCCCTCCCCATGGGAACTCAGGGTGGTCAGGGAGCTGCTGGCCTGTCCTTGTGATGGTCCCAATCTCACCGTCACTATGCGTTCATGTCTGATGGGGAAGGCTCTGTGCTGGGAACAGCTTGCCAGGGTGTCAGGCACAGTGCCAGATGCCACCTGGCCAAGGCTGACCCCAGCCTTGGAGGGGCCTGCCTGAGTCCCCAGACTGCCACTGTGCAGAGGGGGAAACTGAGCGTCTGGAGGAGCCTTGGACCCTTCATTCAGCTCCAGCGGCCTCTCCTGGTGAGGGCGGCGAGGCACGGCTCTGTATGGAGAAAGGCACTTGGTATAAAATAGCTGCTTTATTTTGTCATCAGAGACCTGGTACATATTTTAAAAAAACAAACAGCCTTGCAGTGCTACTGCTCGGAGTCATAAAGGAGTGAGCCCAGAGGAGTGGCTGAGGTCTCCTGCTGGGGGGCTGCCCCCCCCAACTGGATCTCTGGACTAGGAAGGAGGGGGGTCAGGCAGCGGGCAGGGGCCTGGCCCAGGCTTCCACTCCATGCCTGGCGCCTGCAGCCTGGGAGCAGTGGCTCAGCTACTCAGCCTTGAGCATCTGTGCCGGACAACTCAGCTTCCGCAGGAGGAGGAAGGGGAGCAGGAAGAGCCCAGACCACACGGTGAAGCAGGCCTGGGCCCCAGCCAGCCAGTACACTGTGGAGAGACATCGGCATTACCCAGACCCCGAGGGGGCTGGCACTGGGGAGACAGAGCAAGTGCCCAGCACCATCCTACGCCCTCACCTGAGGCAGCCACCAGGGGCCCTGCAGCCCTAGCCAGAGCACCTAGGCTGCGCAGTGTGCCCATGACTGTGCCCTTCTGCCCTGGCGAGCCTGTGGGGAGAGATGCAGTCAGGGGCCACTGCCCTTCTCCCACCTGGGTGGCTTCAGCCAAGGGAAGGGAGCTCACCATAGCCGGCGACCACAGAGGACAGGCAGGGCACCACAACTGCAGCGGCTGGTGGGGGACATTTTTGAGGAGGCACCAGTCAGCCCAGGGGAGGGTGCATAACCCCGCTCCTGCTGCCCATCATCTGATCCCCCGCCAGGGCAGGGCCACTCACCGAAGGAGTAGAGCAGCAACCCCAGGCCCAGCATGGGCAGAGAATGGCCCCAGCCGATGAGGAGGAAGGCAGGCACCAGCAGCAGGAGGGCCTGTGGGTGGGCACGGTGGCCTCAGCATAACCCACACCTTGCAGGGCTCGGGACCACCCTGCCACCCGATTGGGAGGAAGCTCCCTACCCGCTTCACAGCCGCGACTTCCCCGCCAGGGTGGATCCGCCGGGCATAGGCACCCTGGATGGTGGCCATGGTGAGGCCAATGAGGAAGAACATCTTTCCCTGCTGCAGGCTGGGAGCAGGTGTGTTAGTGCCCAGCCCTGCCGGCTGACCCTGGGGCAGGGCCACCTGGGGCAGGGCCAGGGCGAGAGTGGCTGCCAAGGCTTCCTGGGGGTGGGGGTTGGGAGAGTCATCCCTGAAGCAGGGGACATTAGTTCAGGGTGACAGCAGGCCATCCCCAGTGGGGACCCACCTGCTGAACTGGAAGCGCTGGTGTGTGAGGAAGCTCAGTGTGTACTCCAGGCCCGAGAACAGGAAGAGGTAGATGAAGTAGACGAGGCCCAGGCGGCGCAGGCTGCTGAGCCCTGGGGGGAGGTAGAGGGAGCTGGGAAGGCAATCACAGCAGGGAAGGACTCCACCCGGCCAGCCCAGGGGAGAGCAGGCTCCACTTGGGTGGGTCGGGTCCTTACTGTCTCCAGCAGGTGGGTTCTGGCCATGAGCAACAGCGGAGAAGTGCAACAGGGCCAGGGGGCTGAGCAGGTCGGCAGCACCTCGGAAGCCCAGAGCAATAGAGGGTGCCTGTGGGGACGGGAATGGAGAGCCTGCAGCCCAGGTAACAGATGCTGCCTCTGCACCTCACCTCTGCCACAAGGGACTGTGGCCTCAGCCCCAGCACCAGGAGAGAGCAGCCCAGCCTCCCTGGCATCTGGGACTGGCACACAGGGGCATCCTACAGAGCTATGGAACCAAGCCCCCAGCCCCTGGGCCTGTTGGTCCAGACCACAGCCCTACCCGTTTCTCCACGGGCAGTGTCTCCGGCAGGAAGCAGAAGATGAACAGCAGGTCGGAGGCTGCGAAGAGCAGGGCAAACCAGGGTGCCATTTCTACGGGCAGGGAGGCTCCAAGCATAGGGCCTAGGGTAAAGCCCAGAGAGAAGGCCACCCCGATGACCGCCTAGGGAGAAGACCACCTGAGCTGTGCAGGGAGGCTCCAGGCCCGGAAGTCCCCACCCAGACCCCACAGGTCCAGCCTGTGCGCTTACCATGCCTTGGCTTCGGGCCAGAGGCGAGCTCAGGTCAGCAATGATGGCTGTGGAGAGGCTGACGTTCCCCTTGCTGATGCCCCCAATCAGCCTGGAGGCCAGGAAGGCCGCAAAGCTCCCAGATGTGGCCCAAACGGCATACGAGGTGGCCACACCCGTCTGCCCAGGGGCAGGGGCCAAGGGGCATGGGCAGTCACAAGGCCAGGAGTGGCTCAGAGCGGGGCTTGGCACCCAGGCAGCACCCCTCAACCCTGCCCTGTTTCGAAGCCTCTGAGGGGCACCTGTGTTCTCAATGCCTCTCTAGGGACCAGGAGCAGCTCCTTGAAAGCCTGGCTGTACAACAGGAGCCACTAGTCCCCCAGAGAACCCCCTCCAGGATGTGATGAGGGCCAGCCAGTGGCTGTGAGTGGCCCACAGTCACCCGCCTCTCCCCACTGCCCCACCTAACCCCACGGGGCTCCTGGCTGCATGAGTGGAGGCTCCCCCATGGCACCTAGATCCAGGGACATACCAGGGACAGCAGCATCATGGGGCGCCTCCCCAAGCAGTCAGAGGTGGCCCCAGTGAGGGGTGCAGAGAGAAACTGCAGGACAGAGAAGGCCGAGCCAATGAGACCTGAGAGAGAGAGGTCACTGCCATGGGGCTGCCTTGCACCACGAGCTGTGGTCTCAGGGCCTTCAAAGCCAATGTCCAGCTCCATCCTGAGGGTCCAGCCATGCTGAGCCACACACTCACAGGCCACGGCCCTTGAGCTGAGGCAGCCCCAGTGGAGAGATGAGAAAGGATATGGACATGACACGCAGAGGCAGGGGATCATGCCCAAGAGCCAGATGTGTGGGCAAGTGCTCCAGATTGATGCCAGCCCAGGGAGTGGGAAGGGAAGGACCAAGAATTGAGAAGGGGTCTGGTCTGGAGGTAAGACCCTACAGGGCCTGCCAGGAGCACAGAGCCAGCCATACCTCCGAAGAGGACGCTGTTGTACCTCTTCTCCACTGGCATCCCGATGGCGTTGGCAAACCAGTCCACCCCGCGCTGCCAGGAGCCATAGAGGGGATCCTAGGGGATGAGGAGGCACAATAAGGGCTGGGGAGGTCCGATGGGCCTGGGGGTCTGGGGGCACTGTGGGCCGCAGGGCAAGTACTCACGTGGGCACGGCCGTGGCTCTCCAACAGCCCAGGCAGCAGGGGCAGCAGCAGCGTGAAGGCCAGGAGGTCCAGCAGGAGGCCAAGGAAGATAACGGTGACCACGCGGCGTTCCGGCGGCTGCTGGCGGATGGGTGGGCGCGGGGTGCAGCCTCCACCCCCTCCCCATCCCATGGTGGCTGCTCCAACCTGGCCTGACTGGGATGCGGCAGGTCGGCTGAGGGGTGAAGCTGAGTCCTGCAGGGCCTGCCATACTCCCACCCCCGACAGCCGGCGAGCACCCTACACGTAGGGGCTGATAGCAGGTGCTCCGGCCTACCCGACACAGGGGCCGTTCTGGGCTGCGCGATGCCCCCGCCCCGACCCAGGCATCAGGAAACGAGGGCTTCGGGGGTTGTGAAAGAAACCGCAGCCTCAAAGGCAACGGTCCCGAGGGACCGGGATGAAAACGTCGCAGTCGCGGCCCCACCCCGTCTCACGGCCGCGCCTCCCACGCCCTCGTAACAGAGCGGGAGAGGCAACTTGATGCCGGGGGGGACCCGGACCCCAACCGCAGCCCGCAGGCCCAGATCCAGGCCCCTGGCCCAGGCTCGGCCTCCTTGGGGACCACAGCGTACACACCAGACTCAGGAGCGCCCCCAACCCCGCGCACCCCTGGTCCAGCCCCCGACAGCCGCCACCCCGCACGCCCCCGGTCCAGCTCCCCATCCCCGCGCGTCCCCGTCCCGCCCCGCACCTGCCGCGGCAGCGAGCTCAGGACCGACGTCGCGGAACTCAGCGCCAGGCACGCTGCCGGGGGTGGGATGGCCACGCCCGGTCACGCCCCGGAAGTGACGAACATGTCAGCACGTCCTCTTCCGGCCGGAGGCGGTGACGAGTTTCGCGTAGGTCTCCCGGCTCGCTGGTCGGCTGTGGGTTAGCAGCGCCGTGACCCGAGCGGAAGAGCTGTTGGGGCGAGGACGGGTCCCACGTGACCCCGAGGCCGAGACTCCCTGCCTGGCCACCTTGGGCCCACGCCACCCGCTCCGCCGAGCGGACTCATGGGCCTCAAGCGAGCGCCGGCGCAGCCTCTGCCCCACGCCTCTGCGCCCTGCGGGCCTGGCCTTCCTCGTGGAAGAACCGCCGGCTTCGGGGCCGCACTCTGGGGGCAGACTCCTGCCACACGTTCAGCGGCGGCCTCGGGCCTGGGGCGGCAGCACAGCCACTCTGCTCGGAGCTCGTGGGCTGACCCGCTGTCTCTGTACAGCTGCTTTTTCTGTGTCTGCCGCTGAGCCTGAAGTCCCAGGACAGGCGGCCGAGGAGGAAAGATGGTGTGAGTTAGGTGAGCAGAGACAAAAAGCCACCGGACCCGGTTGGCACCTTTTCGGCGTCCTGGGCCTGCAGCCCTGCTCCCTGGGTCACCCGAAGGAGGAGCTGGCGCTCTTGCTGGGCACAGAAGCACTTACCTAGCCCAGCGCTGGAGGAAACGGTTCCCCTCGGCTGGAGGAGCTTTGGGCCTGGCTGCTGCCCGTGGCCGTGCCCGTGCCCGTGCCCCAGGGCCAGCACGCTCACGGAACCGCGCCGACGCCTGGCCTGCAGTCAGCTCCCACCTCCCTCCCACCTTCTAAAATGCCCGCGGATCTCTTGTGGCGGACCCCAACCAGATCCACATGGGGAAAGGAATCAGGTGGCACACGTTCTGCCTAATAGATGCAGTTTTCCACCTGCAGCCAAAAAGACAACCTGTTATTAGCTCTTTCCCCAGAGGACAGGTGTCCCTATGAAAATGCGGTTGCAGAATTGTAACAGGCAAATGAGAGAGATCTGCCCTGAGCAGCCCCACCTTGCTTATAACCTCCAGGCTGTCCTTGTTCATTCCTGGGCATAGGCTCAACTAACTTTGGGAGGAACTGAGTTTAAGATGAAGGTGCTAACGGCCCTTTCCCAAAAGAAACCTTTCCTGGGGACTAGACTCCCATTGTGGGACTAACAGATGAGCCACAAGGTCAGAAATTATGGTTTAGGAGTCATGCAGCTGGAGGCTGCAGGACTCTGACCCTCCCCAAACTTGCTGGGGATAACATCACTATTGTAAAGCCCAGGATGACTGCTTGAGATATTTTGCGACCCTCCCTGCGCTTGATGAATCAGCTGGCACCACCTAGGCTCTTCCAATCTTTCGGCCCCACCCAGAGAATAGCTTCGCACCCCTGATTTCATCTCTGACCCAGTCAGCACTCCTGACTCAAGTTATCCTTAAAAACCGGCGCAGTGGCTCTCACCTGTAATAAAACAGCACTTTTGCACACACAAGGTGGGTGGATCACGAGGTCAAGAGATTGAGACCATCCTGGCCAACATGATGAAACCCCGTCTCTAGTAAAAATACAAAAATTAGCTGGGCATGGTGGTGCGCACCTGTAGTCCCAGCTACTGGGGAGGCTGAAGCAGAAGAACTGCTTGAACCCAGGAGGTGGAGGTTGCAGTGAGTTGAGATCACTCCACTGCACTCCAGCCTGGCGACAAAGTGAGACTCTATCTGAAAAAAACCCCTCTAATCCCCACATGCTCAGGGAGACTGAGCAATAAGCTCCAGTCTCCCACACAGCTAGCTCTGCATGAATTACTTTTTCTCTATTGCAAATGCCCTCTGTCAAGGTATCAGGGAATGTGAACCCACTGGGTGGTTACACCTTTACCCATGCTTCCAGGTGGATCACCTGCCCTCTTCAATGCCAGCACATTCTGTCCTGGAATGGATAACAAGGCCTCAACGGAGAGCCTGGTCCCACTTTTTTCTGTCCTGTTCTTTTCCTCTTTGCTTGGACAGCTGGGCAGCTGCCCTGAGTGCTAGGGCTTGGTGAATTAAAGTGGCAGTAGCCGTGTGGCAGAGAAAACGTGTAGGTGGGTGAAACCCTGCAGCCATTGGTGTTAACGGCATCCTGGGCCTACACAGGGACAAGGTGAATAGCCAGCCAGCCTAGCTGGTGGATGTGACAACCCTAGACCCTTCTAGATTTGTGGACCACGCACCTGCCAGACCTGTCTCCAAGCCATTCTAGGGAGGCTGGGTAAGATGCCTGTCAGGGCCTGGGCCTCATCTTCAAGCTGCCAGCGTCAACCTAGCTGCCACCAGGGCTGTCTCTGTCTTCCACTCTACAGAGGGACTGTCTGGTTCTAAGCTCCAGGCCAACCACGGCAGCGACTGCCTCTCACAGAGGGCTCATGCTGCACTCCAGCTGTGGCCTCAACACCTCCCAGCAAACACAAAGCCAAACTCCTCCTTCTCCCCAGCAACTGCTTCCTTGTGAGAGACCCCACACCTCCCTCAGAAGCCAGAACTGGGTCGTTGTCACTTTCCTCACCTCCCCAGTTCTAGTCTGCTAATCCTCACATCTCACCATGGTCACCGTGGCGGCTAGACATGTGACCTCAGCGATGCTGCTTCGTGCACACTCTAGGGCAGGCTGGTCACGGCGGGATCTGGTGTGGTGTGAACTTGATGCCGAGCTTTTCCTGGGATGCTGGCCGAGGACACAGGCGCTGTGCTTGCCCTGGCTCGCAGCCCCACAGGGGCTCTGTAGTCCCCTGGGAAATGCCTTGGGCTGCAAGGCCATATGCCGTATTGGTTCAGGGAAACCTTCTTCAGCACCTCCCTCAGCAAGGTATCTGGTCCCAACAAGCCTTGCACTGTGAGGATGTGGCAGCAGCGTCCGGGGTATGGCCCCCTGGCCAGCTTGTGAAGTTCAAGGGGTTCATTACTTCTCACAGCTCACAGGCCCTCCTGGGTCCAGCCAACATGAGGGCTGACCTCCCTTGGTTAGTGCAGGGTAAAAGCACTTGGCAGAGCCGTCTCATCCCTAACTTCCACATCCGATTCTGACCTGAAACCACCTCCCAGGTCGGCACAGACACAACCCAGTCTCTCCTCTCACCTTCCACAGTGCAGTGTCCTCAATCAGGACCCAGCACCCAGAAGCATCTGCTCAAGGGCGAAAGGAGGAGGCCGACTGGCTGTTCCAGCAGGGGCACTGCGGGCAACTCTTCCCTTCTCTGATTTCCAAGCTACTTGCAGACTTGTCATTTATAACTGAATATGTAATTTACCTCATAGCCTAAATTCTATCCATGAAGGCAAATGTCCACAGTTGACAAAAATTACACTGGCCAGAATCCCCAGGCCCAACCCTGGCAGCATGAACTGAGGGTGTCCAGATGCAGTCAGCCAGTCACAGCTGACACCACGCAGACCGCTCTGTCCAATATTTAACAGGAACAAACCGCAGGTGGGGAAAAAAAAAAAAAAAAAATCACACCAACATTACGGCATTCTTTATTACTTAAAAAAATTATTTTTTTGGCTGGATGCTGTGGCTCACGCCAAAAAAATAATTTTTTATTTTTTGGGAGGCTGAGGCGGGCGGATCACCTGAGGTTGAGAGTTCAAGACCAGCCTGACCGACGTGGAGAAACCCGTCTCTCTAAAAATATAAAATTACTCAGGCATGATGCTGCATGTCTGTAATCCCAGCTAATTGGAAAGCTGAGGCAGAAGAATCACTTGAACCTGGGAGGCAGAGGTTGTGGCGGGCTGAAATTGCCCACTGCACTCCAGCCTGGGCAACAAGAGCAAAACTCCATCTCAAAAAAAAAAAAAAATTATTTTTTTAAGCGACAGGGTCTTGCACTGTTGCCAAGGCTGGAGTGCAGTGGCTCGATCACGGCTTGGACTCAGCTCGAGCAGTCCTCCTGCTTCAGCCTCCCGAGCAGCTGGGACTAACAGGTGCGTGCCACCACACCTGGCTAATTTTAAACTTTTTTTGTAGACATGTCTCCGTTTCCCAGACTGGTCTGGAACTCCTTGGCTGAAGTGATCCTTGTGCCCTGGCCTCCCAGAGTGTTGGGACTGCAGCTGTGAAGTAATGTACAGTGCAATTCCTCGCCTAGTTTATAATGGAGTTTATTTTTTGAACTTTTTCCTCTTCAGAGCCTTCCATTCGCCTTCCTGTGTAGCCAGGCTGTTAAAAAGCTGCTTTACTCTCCGCTTTCTTTCCGCGTCCCTGAAAGAAACAAAAGGCAAATGCCCATTTTTCGATTAGTTCTTGGAGGATGTCTTGCCCTCTCTCTTCCACATCAGAACCACATTAGCCCACAGCAGCCACGTTCAGTCCACGGGGGCAGCCAACGTGCCCGGCTCCAGCCCCTGCCAGAGCCACGCTGTGCGATGCCAGGGCCCAGTGTCTACCCAGGGCCACACAGCACCAAAGCTGAGCCACCCACAGTCGTGTCAGCACACACACGTCCCTCACCTTTCCATGATCTCGGAGAGCTGCATCCTAGCCAGGAACTGATTGTCCTTGCGGATTTCTCGAACGGCCCCTTTAAATTCACGCTTGTGTTTGTGGATCAGCCTCTTCCTCTCCTGTTCCTCCTTACTGCTGCCTTGTTTTCTTCCAAACTCGAGGCTGCAATCGGAAAGCCACCGTTAAGGACGCTAGAGTCTGTCCCCACCTCTTGGCCAGAGCCTCCTCGGGAGTGTGGCTCCTCCTGAGTCATCTGCCCAACCACAGAACCGGCAGATGCCCCCGCTCAGCTCCCACAGCCCAGTCCCAGCTACCCAGGGAGACGCTGCCAACACCCACACTTTGACCAGCCGGGGGGTGAACAGCTTCAGCGGGACAGGCCTGCTCTTCTCACAGGTCAGCGGCCGGTAGAGCTGCTTCTGGCTGTCCATTTCCGTCAGTGTGCTCTGACACAGCTCCTGAAAAACACGCAAACCCTGACGCTGCCATGACTCGCCCGCCGCGTGCCCAGCGCCACACGCAGGTTCTGCGGCGTCAAGGCAGCGTGGGGACAGTACTGTGACCTCCCGCAGCAGGAGGGTGCCCTTGCTGTGCCCTGCTGCAGTGAAGCCAAGGCTGTGGCTGCTCGAGGCCTGGCACAGCTGGAACAAGAAAGCCAGTCTTTCTGATGAGGGAGGGGCCCGCGTGCCGGCTCCTGAGCACTCTGAAAGGAGGGGTTCTCAGTACTGTGTGACAGTGGGTTTGTCTGCTCCAGCTCCAGGGACCCGGCCGGGACTCTGTGACAGTGGGCTTGTCTGCTCCAGCTCCAGGGACCCGGCCGGGACTCTGTGACAGCGGGCTTGTCTGCTCCAGCTCCAGGGACCCGGCCGGGACTCTGTGACAGCGGGCTTGTCTGCTCCAGCTCCAGGGACCCGGCCGGGACTCTGTGACAGCGGGCTTGTCTGCTCCAGCTCCAGAGAACAGGCTGGAAGTGGGCCAAGTTGCCGTCCTCATGGAACGCTAATCCTAGTGGAGCAAGGACGGCGTAACGTGCTGAGGGGTTAGCACCACGGAGAAGACACAGGGAGCATGGCGCAGTGCGGGCCAGAAAAGGCCTGGCTTCCCAAGGGCCTGGGCACGAGTGGCATGGCTGTGGGGAGTTCCAGTTGGAGAGAACAGCTGCTGAGATGGAGCAAGGCCTACGAGGAGGCCGGAGCGCATGAGGGGAGGGCACAAGGCAAGGCTGCCAGGGCCGAGCACCCCCGTGGGGGTAGCTGCGGACAGGGCGCTGATGCCGTCATCCACAGCAGCATCTTGGGCCAGTGTGGGCCGGCGGGGGGCAGGGTTGGCGCAGGATGAGAGGCACAAGGCACAGCCGTGTCAAGCAGGAACTGGATGCTAGGCACAGCCTGTCAGGGCCAGGGTGAAAGGCAGGGAGACAGTGGCTGTAAGTGAATCTGGAGCGGCCTTCAGGCAGACTGAGCAATCTGCAGGGTACAGGATGTGCCTGGGATGAAAGACTTGTTCTCGGCCAGGCGCGGTGGCTCACACCTGTAATCCCAGCACTTTGGGAGGCCGAGGCAGGTGGACCACAAGGTCAAGAGATCGAGACCGTCCTGACCAACATGGTGACCCCGTCTCTATTTAAAAAAAAAAACTCGTTCCTAGGTCCAGCTGAGACTGTCCCTTGGGGACTCCTGTCACCTGGGCAGGACAGTGAGACCATCCTCGGAAAACCCATCGGGACTTCAGAGCACGGCGCAGAGCCAGCTGTTGAGGCCTGGCAGGGCTGACCCCTGGGTGCTGGCGCAGCCTCCGTGCGGCCTCTTGGAGGTGGCACACAAGGCGACAGTTCCCAGCTACGGCCCAGATGCAGCGTCTGCTTTAATCCAGCCCAGCACTGCTCACCGTCACCGCCCGCCCTACTGATTTGATGTGACTGCAAAGATGTGTCGACTCCAGAGCTGCAGCCTCAAATGCCTAAGAATGCCTGCCAGCATGGGCCCAGGCAGAGCACCCTCGTGGCCAGGACACCTCACCTGGAGCTCCCGAGGGTGGCTGCATTCCGCCAGGTGGTCCACAAGGAGGGCACGAAGAGGCGCGGTGACGGCGTGGAAGGACGGCAGGGCTCCGTACATCAGCACACAGCGCTTCAGCAGGGACAGGCCCACGGCCAGGCAGGACAGTCTGTGAGGGCGCGAGGTGAGAAGAGGTCCAATGTGTTCTATTTGTCACTGACAAAACCAGTATCGTGGCAAAAGGGAACTCTCCCATTCCCACTAGGCTGAAAAATCAAATGTGGTCACCACAGCCGGTCAGGGTTGGGCCACACCGTCGTGGGCAAGGCAGGCTCAGCGTCAGCCCTTAGCACAGGGGGAAACTGGGTAACGCAGTGCCAGCTGGGAAGGGGTGGCTCTATTTTTGGTTCCAAATTATGATTTGTGAAATCAAGCAAATATATTTTGAAAATGAAAAAAACAAAGGGGATACCGAGCCACATGCCTCAGAAAGGATTCCGCCCTCCGTAAAACCAGCCAGCTTAGCCAAGAACAGCACATGTGAAATCATCCATGGCTTCTGCTGCCTCCCCGAGGTGGGGTCCCCCCACATACCGGATGTGATTGGCCTCTGTCGAAGTTGGGGCCCTCAGTCCACTCGCCCAGCGGAGGGAGAGGCTGCTGTGCTGCCACGTGGCCGCGTCCTCTTTGTCAGATACCACGAGCAATTCCGAGTTCTTCCCAAGCGCTCTGAAAGGGTGCACCAGAGTGGAACCTGAATTCCAAGTGCACAGGACAGAGAGGGCCTGAACGTTACTGGGCTCCCAGCAGGCCCTGCAACACCAAGCCTGTGGAAGTTCACTGTAACTGACACTCGCTGATTTGTATGTTTCCAGGCTGCGCCAGACACTGAGGGTTTTGGTGTGGGCAAGGACACCTCGGGAGGTGGAAAGGTTTGGCTGGGGCTGCAGTCACAGCTGAGTGCCTGACCTCGCCTGGGCCTGCTTGAGGCAGACTTCCTGGGGCCTACTAGACACAACACGGGGCTGATGAGGCAGGCACACAGGCCACAGCCGAGAAGACTGAAGTCCCTGCTCCGTGAGGGAGACAGGCAGTGCACAGCACGCAGACAGGCAAATGAACCAGACGACAGGAGAAAGGACAGTGGAGGGGCGGGAAGGAGATGGGAGGGTCAGCTGGGGTGAGGGTGAGGAGCAGGAGAGGCCTGAGGGAGCAGCCGTCAGCAAAGCCCTACGGGACGTCAACCCACTGAGAACGGCGTGGCTGCAGGGGGAGGGGTGGAGACCAGGCACAGTGGGGCGGAGGGGCCAGGCCGAGCGAGGGCAGGGCAGTGGGTCAGGCCCTGTCCACACTCCCTCAAAGCCGAGACGCCCACCCCCTCCACGACTCCACCCGTGCCCAGCCTGTTCCATCGCAGCCCTTCACACACGGGATTGCAGCCATATGCAGGTGGCTTCTCCAAGGCAGGGGGCACTCAGGGCGGCCATAGCTCTCCGGCGCCCAGCACCAAGCCTGACAGACAGAAGCATGAGGGCCCTGAACCCCTGCTGGAAGGGACTCTGCTGGCCGTATGACTGATGCCACAGCACCTGCTTCTCAGGTCAGTCCTGGACATACAGGTGCTCAGCAGCACACAGCGAGCTGGAAACAGGGCGGGGGTCTTAGCCTTGAGGCCCAACCTCTGCTCAGGCTGGCAGAGGCATCCACAACACGGAAGCACTCAGGACAGAGGCTGTGTGGCTCCCTGTCCCCAGGAGGGCAGCAGCAAGGGCTGATGGGGGAGGGAGGAGCAGAGGCCCCGGGAGGGGAGCGGCGAGGGCTGAGGAAGCGCCCAGGAGTGGGGCTGGGGAGAGGGCCTGGGAGGGCAGCCTCCTTGTCCCAACACTGCTCTTGCCGCCCCCCCCTCCTGAATTCGGGGTGTTATGGGAGCGACACAGCAGTGCTGCCCCTGTGAGCCGCACGAGCGCTTTCACACTGCCTTGTCATCATGTGAGAGAAAGTAAAAAGCTAAGAGTGATTTTAACAATAGATCTACCCCAAAGTGCCAACATATTATGATTTAACACATAATAAAGAAATTCAGATATTTTATGTATTTCTGGTAACCCCGCATATGGGCACTGAGGAAGAACTGTCCAGACCCCAGGCACAATTAGTGCCTGAAGAATATCTTAGTTATAGTGTTGTTACTCAGCTGTTTCCTTTATGTAATCCTTTGTATATAATCATATATTAGTTTATAGAATTAGCACCTGAGGCATAACTTACTGCTTACATATATCTAGCTTATCTAATCATACTTAGTACTAATATCCAGCATACTTAGTTCTATATAATCTTTCTATATAATCATATAGGTGTTGCAGTCGGAGCTGTACTGACACATTTAGTGCTGATTTATATAATCCTTCCATATAACCATATAGTAGTTTGTAGTAGGAGGAATGCCTAGAGCAGTCACAGAACAGAAGCAGTACATGGGAAAACAGCCAGACCAGGATGAGAACCAAAGACCCCGGCGGCGGCGGCCCTGCCTGAAAGGGCCTATGCTGTATGGCAGGCTTGGAGCAACAGCCTCTCCTCCTGAGAAAGGAGCTGTAGCACCTTGCATCCAGTTCCTGTGGAAAGTAGGCCTCAGGCCTGAGATCCTGGAAATAACTGAGGGAGAAGAACCCCCCTGGTGTGACCAGTCACGGCGGCTGTACACCCTGTCAGTCTTTTCTCGCTTCTGTGCTGGCTCAAATCATCCTCGCATAAATATCTTAAGAGCACAGGTCTGTCAGCTCCCCCTGCACTGGCTTACAGTATCCTTCTATTAGAAACCCTTTGAAGTCTCCAGCCCCCAGATAAGAAGTGCTGTGCACGACACCTGTTGCACACAGCTCACCTCCTTGCCTCGGTGATCTAATGGAGGTAGACCCCTTTTCTGAGCATGGCACGGCCCCCTACTGCGCACGGCCTACCTTTCTGCCCAGGTGACATAATGGGGTGGCCCCCTCGCCTGTTACTCACGTGATTATGTATGCTCTATCACTAAGCCTGTAGACGACCTCACTCACAAACCTGCTCCACTCTGCCTTGTACCCAGTAAGCTCAGACGCTTCTGCGCGTTCGGGGCCTCGTCTGTCTCCACTCACAGGTGGCGTGGCCCCCCAAGTCCAGCTGCTCTTCTCCAGTGTCCTGTCTCTTTAGTTCTCGGATCCTGCACCTCAGCAGAGCATAAGGGACACCCGTGACCCTGTGGCGCCAACAGCCCTACATCTGGCACTAAGTCTTCCCCATCTGGTCACATGACACACGTGGGGCACATCTTGGTTCAGACTCTGGCCACTGGTGACCACGCTGGACAGCAAAGGTCAACAGTGGCGCTTTTTCCCACGTGGGCACAGGCACACGCTCACGCAGAGGGAACGGGTGCTGTCAGGGGGGTGGGCAGCAGGTTTGTGTGTGTCTCTACTTTTCCGTATTCTAAACGTTCTACAGCGAGCACAAACTACTTCAAAACTCTAAAGTATAAAATACTTGCAGGAAGCTCCCTCAGATCTCCTCACCTTGGCTGGCTCTGTTTGGAGTTGCCATGTAGAGAATCCCGAGAAGGAAATTAATGAGCTCGGGTATAAACCTCTGGGATAAAGCCACATACTCCAGGAACAGGCAGCACGCGAACAGGCCCTTCACGGCGTCCTGGAGGGACAGGATGGGGCACTGGAAAGGAACACATGGGGCGGGTGTCACAGTCCCGGAAACAAGATTTTAAAGATTTTACTGATTTTTTTTGTCCCACCGAGACAGAGTTCACTCTTGCTGCCCAGGCTAGAGTGCAATGGTGCGATCTTGGCTCACTGTAACCTCCGCCTCTGCCTCCTGGGTTCAAATGATTCTCCTGTCTCAGCTACCCAGTAGCTGGGATTACAGGTACCCGCCACCACGCCCAGCTAATTTTTGTATTTTAGTAGAGACAGGGTTTCACCATGCTGGTCAGGCTGCTCTTGAACTCTTGACCTCAGGTGATCTGCCTGCCTCAGCCTCCCAAAGTGCTGGGATTACAGGCGTGTGCCGCCACGCCCCGCCAGAGCTCTGCCCACTGTGAAGTTCCTTCCACCCATACAGAGAGCGCACGATTACTGCGGTCACATGCCGAGTAAAGGAACAGCTTGAACTGGGAACAAAAGCCCTTATCATCACACCTGATAACTTCACCACTAACCTGAAAGGTTGTTTCTGGGGTCACAGGCTCTGTAACCTTGAGGTGCCAAACCGGACCCACCCACTCCCACCCACATCTGGGGCTGCTTGAGCTGGGGCTTTTAGGTGGGTGCTCTTATGCCCCCAGTGCTCAGTCTCTGCGGCCCTCAACAGCCACGCTCAAGTGCAACGAGGCCCCGAGGAGCTGTGGCTCTGGCTGCCCGTGGTGCCACAGGCCAGGCCCTGCTGCGCGTGGAGGGGACGCACCTTGGTGAGCAGCTGACTCAGGCACACGAGGGCAGGGGTCACCACCGGGTGCCGAAAGTCAGATGTTGGAAACAGCAGTCCAGTGATTTTCAAATGAATGAGCTGGAAGGAAAGTTGCCACACAGGTTAGAGGGAAATGAAGTCTATCCAGATGCCCTTCCCGCGGGCGCTCCGGAGCCAAAATCAGCCTCTGGGGAAGAGAGGGTACACAGCTCTGGCCTCCACGTCACAGAACTGGTGTCCACCACCATGGGTCCACCAGCTAACTGTACAGTGAGGACACGCGCTGAGGCCCACGAAGTTCGCCAAAGCCACCCATGATGGTGACAGGCGCAAGCTCGGATCACGTTTTGGGGAGTTGATGAAAATCACTAACCTAAGTCCTGCATGTTTAAGCTTCTGCTAACCATTGTGAATCCATTTCAACACAAACACCAGGCAGTGAATAAAGAGCATTTCTGAGCAAGCATTTCTTTAGTTGCTAAAGCTGAAAACACCGCATGAGGCTTTTCTAAAATTGTTAAAAATCTCAGGGTTCAAATGTCTCTCGACCTTTGAATAAACATAGGAACCGAGGTCAGTTAAAACCAGCCCACAGGCTTGGGCCCTTAAGAAAACAGCGTGGTTCTCTTTGGCTTCTGACGTTTTTGTACCGGACCAAACTCCGCACCACCCGCGTGGAATCAAACCAGAATCTCCTTGTACGACCCACACGTCAGTCGACAGCCGGTGGAGGGGCCGCCCTCCCTCCCAGGCTCGCTGCATTGCAGCTGTCGCTCCAGATCACCCTGGAAGCACAGGGCACAGCCTAGAGCACCATGCCCGCCATCCGCCCTGTGACGCCACGCAGAACTCCTGTGGCCGTGGCAGTGCCTAGACCAAACCGTGCTTACCACACCCAGCCCTGGCAGTGGCGTCCGGCCTTTGGCCTCAATCATTTCTTCCATCTCATGCATGGCGTCTCGGAGAACGAACCGCACAGCCTCACTTGCAGACGCAGGAAACATCTGGCAGAGATGATGGAACTGCCTGCTAAGCAGAAGTGGAAGTCAGCGGAGAGGACCTCAGACGGCACATCACAGAAAACCCTGGAAGCCATTTTCCCATGAAGGCGCCTGTTGGCTGAGCAAGGGAGAACCGGACGAACCCACTTTTTCTAACAGCATTCTTAATAGTCTCCACTCATTTTTGCCATTTCCTGAAAACCCAGCCATTACACGATGGACGGGAGGTGGAGGAGAAACAGCTCCATCTGTGGTAACGACACTACTGCGGGCACGGTCCTGTGTGGCAGCGGCAGCTGGCAGCTCCAGGGCACTTTCCGCATGAACTCATCCGTTCGTCACAGCAGCTACTTCTTGGACAGTGTCTCCATGTGCGCAGATGCCGTGCAGCGCTCCGCGTGGCAGACGGCAGGAAGCTGGCGCACGCTCTCACGGATCCAACGCCAACAACGTGCCTCTTGACTGAGAACTCTGCCCTCTGCCATTCCTCCAGCCACCAGCCCCTGGGGCCAGGAGTCACCAAGTGGGTCACAGGCTTATAGTGCAGCGAGGGCAGGAGCTCGCCCTGGCGGTCCCCAGGTAGGCGAGAGGGACACCCTCCATAGCACACAGAGCCAGTCCCACTGGGTTCCACGGAGGGGTGAGGGGCGGGGTGTCTACCACACTGTCCAAATCCCTCTCGACCACCCAGAGCTCGAAACTTACAATCAGCCACCCCATTCCAGCCACAAACCTGAAGGGGTTCACTTGTTTCAAAGTCAGCTTGTTTGGGGTTAAACATCAGTCACAGCTCTACAGCTGCCAGAGCAGCCAGTGAGGAGCGGGCCTGCGCCGCGAGGCTCACAAGCCCTGGTGACCACCCGTCCCCCCGGTGTGCTGACGCCACCATTCCACCTTCCTTGGTAACCCTGGAATGTATTTTCATGACTGAACGGGAGAAAACTTGTTCTGCTCAGCCCCACATCCCAGGTAACACACCATTTTACTTACACAACCAACTTATCAATTACTCTGAGATCTGGTGGGTCATTTGTAGCCAAATCACCAACGTATTCCAAAAGAAAGCCGAACAGTTTCTGCGGGAACATGAATTGGGAGAGAAAGCTCAGTGCTCAGCAGCAAGAACAAGGCCACGGGCACACAGCTTTCAGATCACCTACACTCTGGTGACAACCAGGTGGTGAAGGGAGCCCAGGGCTACAGACACGAGCAGCCTTCTAACATGCAAGCCGAGACACTGCTGGAACCTGCTGAGCTCTAGGAGTAGAGCGGGGAAAAGGCTAAGGGCCAGGTGCATGCTTCACAGAACAGCAGACAACAGCACTAGGAAGAGAAGAAGGCACACGGCTGGGTGCAGTGGCTTCACGCCTGTGATCCCAGTACTTTGGGAGGCCAAGGTGGGTGGATCACTTGAGGTCAGGAGTTCATGACCAGCCTGGCCAACATGGTGAAACCCCATCTCTACTAAAACTACAAAAAATTAGCCGGGTGTTGCGGTGGGCGCCTGTAGTCCCAGCTACTTGGGAGGCTGAGGCAGGAGAATTGCTTGAACCCAGGAGGCAGAGGTTACAGTGAGCTGCGATCACGCTACTGTACTACAACCTGGGTAACGAGAGCGAAACTCCATCTCAAAAAAAAAAAAAAAAGAAGAAAAAGAAAAAGGCACAATGACAGCCACCTATTAATTGACAAACAGAGTCTGGCTGTGTGACTCTAGTTTCCTCCCCTGTGAGAAGAACGTAAGGTCCCTGTGCCCGCCTCTGGCAGGGCCTGGCATGAGGCCTAGAGAGGGACCAAAGCCAAGGGAGGCCTCTGCCCAGGCCATGCCAAGTGCTCCCAGCCATCATCATAGGTAACCAGGTGACAGGCCGGCCCCCGGCCGCTGCACACCTCACAGTTCCCACAGTTGCAGACGGGGCCATGCCGACACTCGGCGCTCCACACACTCAGTCCACATACTTCCAGTTTGGCTTTGTTTCCTTCTGCAAGACTCGGGTGGGTGCACTTCTGAATTCTCTCCACCACCAAAAGCTGCTCTTCCACCGATCTTCCTAATAATAAAGCTCTCAGTTCCTCATAGGACTCAGGAGCTATTAGAACACAGAACACACTGCACAGTTAACATTCATTTATTTATATATATTGTTTGAGATGGAGTCTTGCTCTCTTGACCAGGCTGGAGTGCAGTGGTGCAATCTCAGTTCACTGAAACTTCCACCTCCCAGGTTCAAGCAATTCTCCTGCCCCAGCCTCCCGAGTAGCTGGGACTACAGGCGCCCACCACCACGCCCAGCTAATTTTTGTATTTTTAGTAGAGACGGGGCTTCATCACATTGGCCAGGCTGGTCTCGAGCCCCTGACCTCAATCTGCCTGCCTTGGCCTCCCAAAGTGCTGGGATTACAGGCATGAGCCACTGCGCCCGGCCCACATTTAACATTTGAAATGAAGATTCCTTCGTGTCTGCTAACAGAGGTAATTTCATGTAACTGTCCTACTTCACACCCACAAACCCACCGGCTTTTGCTCTGGTACATCTGGAGGGGTCTCAGATGTTTCTGCCCTGGGCTGTCAGGGGTGGTCATGCACCTGGGAACAGTCTAACCAGGAAATGACCTCCCCCTGCTCCTTGATAGGAATTTACTGAAACACGGTTCCAGAGCATCTCGGGGGCAGGGTGCTGGGTTTAGTGCCCAGACCACTTCAGAATGACCTGGAAGGAGCCACTGTGAGCCAAGCAGGGTCAGCTCCTGAGACTCCTGCCACCAGAGGGTACATCAGGGAGGCCAGCCTCACCACCAGCTTCTCTGCAAGCGTCCTGCAGGCACAGGACAACTAAGCATCACTTACTAGAACCCAACAATTTTTCTTTTTTTTTGAGACAGGGCCTTGCACTGTCACCCAGGCTGGAGCGCAGTGGTGTAACCTCAGCTCCCTGCAACCTCTGCCTCCCAGGTTCAAGCGATCCTCCCACCTCAGCCCCCTGAGTAGCTGGGAACACAGGCACGAGCCACCGCACCAGGCTTATTTTTTATGTTTTTGGTAGAGATGAGATTTCATCATGTTGCCCAGGCAGGTCTCAAACTCCAGGGCTCAAGTGATCCGCCCACCTTGGCCTCCCAAAGCACTGGGATTATAGGCGTGAGCCACGCACCTGGCCTGGACAATCTTTCTCCACATACCAGACAAAACAACACTGTATATTCCACCCAAAATGTTACGTGGCCAAACAGCAGGCCCAGTGGGAGCACGGAAGCCTTCTCACAGATGCTCGCCCACCTCACAGGCCCACCCTCCGGTCCCCAAAAAACGCTGGCCCTACACTAACAGAGGGAAGGTACTGCTACAGAGAGGTGTGTCTAGCTCACCTGGAGCCAGCCCACTGAGCCACAGATCAAGACAACCCCTCACTCCAAGACCTGGATCAGCAGACACGGGGTGGGGCCACAAACTCCCAAGTGCATCCTTGGTCCCCACCCCACAAATGCAACCCCTGGGAGGGAGACACACACAGCTATGGCCAGGCGGTCAGTCACCCCAGAACCGAGGAGACCCGTGCTCACCCACCTGCAAAGGTGCAGGGCAGCTCGTCTCTGGCAGCTTTTCCAGCTCTTTCCCTGCGGCCCAGCAACCCTTTCCCAGGAGTCTGCCGCTGCTCTTTTGCTGGCTCCTGGTTTTCCTCCTCGCTCTCTGCGTTGGACTCCAGGTCCGAGTGGCTGTCTGGGCTGTCACTCTCCTCTGTGTCCTCCCTGCCTGAACTGTCACCTTCTTCCTGGTTGCTCTCAGTGTCACCGGCTTCCCTGCTTTGCTCTTCCTCTTGTTGGTTGAGGACATTTTCCTCCATGTTCATTTTTCCATCCTAGAAAGAGCATGGAAACCACAGGGCATCAGGAGAGGCAGAAGCAACCGCTGAACCGTCTCAACCACATCGAGACAACGTGCGCATCACTGCTTCCTCCGTGGTTACCCACAAACCTGTGTGCTGCATTTGCCCCCTGGCACCAGGCCTCCTGCCCACTATCCCCGTTCTAGGCTATTTGAGCCACGGAAGCTCCCAGAGACGCTGGGCCAGGTTCAGGTCTTGCCAGGGAGCAGCACAGGGTCAGGAAGCGGACACTGCAGTGGCCGTGGCTTCGGCACCCACCACTGGTTTGAGGGGGGGCTGCCCTTCTGCTCCTCCAGGTAACCTAGTGGTTTTATTGGCATCCACTGTCCTCTGTGGATCTCTTCTGCTTGAAACCCATCCTGCCTACTGTTCTTCCCTGGACCCTGACTGATACACTCTTACAACGAGAAAAGGGTATCGATTTATAAAGTTCGTGAATTAAAAACACCAGTCACAGAAACTCAATGACGCCACTCAAGGAATATTTACAACTCCAGCCTTGAGTCAGCTTCCTCGACAGTCTGCTGAGGTCATGCAGACAGAATCACGCAGTTACACACAGAAGCAGTCGATGTTAACAACCAAGTACTCGGTTTTATCTCTATTCCTTCGAGAGAGACGGAGAGCGGGAGCCAGCGAGTGCACACACCGCGGCTCAAGTCTTCTAACGTTTTGATTTCTGTATGCCATCAACACCCAGATAAGAACTTTAGAGAAACTGGTTAAAAAGATTTAAAATTCCCAACTGTAATAAATCCCTAGAATGAATACCAAAAACTGTTTTACATTTAAAACAAGAGAAAGGAAACAAAGCCAAACATCGTACTTTGTAAGAAAGCAAACGCCTGTCGTCTCTGTCTAGTACGAAGCCATCGTTGAGATCATCCGCTGACGTATGTTTTGGCTTCTTAGTATCTTCGTCCTCGTCCTGTCCAAGCATTCTTCGGAGTCTTTCAGCCTGAGCAGGAAGGAATGACAAGTCGTAGAGAGCACTCCTCCGCTACTTGGTGAGGAGGCGTGCAGTCCCAGCTCTGCAGCTGGTGCATCCCTGCTTTCTGCCTGCAGCCTTCAGTCAGGCATGCCAGCGCTTGCTGAGCAGTACATTCCTCATTTAACAAATAGACTGTGCCAACGTTGTGGCCAGTGCTCTCCAGTCCCAAGGCAAGCCTCTTATTCTGAGGTCTTCATAGCCCAATTCTGCCGGCCAGCCCTGACTAGGAGTCGTCGCTCCCTGCACCAAGAGAAGAGAAGCCAGGACACGAAGAGCAAGCAGCTCCAGGGCCTCCACTATGTGACAACACACAGGACACGGGAGAGGCTGTGGTGGGAGCATCCGCTGAGCTCAGGAGTTTGAGAACAGCCTAGGCGACATAGGAAGATGCTCATCTATGCAAATAATTTTTTTAAATTAGCTGGGGCTGGACGCGGTCACCCCAGCACTTTGGGAGGCTGAGGTAAGTGAATCACCCAAGACCAGGAGTTCAAGACCAGCCTGGCCAACATGGCAAAACTGTCTCTACTAAAAATAAAAAAATAGCTGGGCACGATGGTGGAAAAAAAAAGCAAATTGAAAAACTCAGCTAGCTGTGGAAGAATGTGTCTTTGTTTTTGTTTTAATGTAATGAATTTTAAAAATTGCATTAAAAAAAGAAGCTTACAAGATAATATACTCATTTCATTGTTAGTACATGTTTTGGGACAGAATAATTATTAAGGAATGTCCATTTTTAACTGGGCACAGAGGTTCATGCCTGTGATCTCAGCACTTTGGGAGGCCAAGGTAGGCAGATCATTTGAGGTCAGGAGTTCAAGACCAGCCTAGCCAACATAGCCAAACCTCTTCACTGCTAAAAATACAAAAATTAGCTGGGCGTGGCGGGGGGCTATAATCCCCGGTATTCAGGAGGCTGAGGCAGGGGCCTGGCTTGAACCCAGGAGGGAGAGGCTGTAGTGGGCCGAGATCACGTCACTGCACTCCAGCCTGGAGTTTGAAAACTCCATTTCAAAAAAAAATAAATGTCAATTTTTAATTTGGTATACTTGGGAATTATTTGCATTTTATTTGATGTTTCTGCTTTTATAATCAGATAAAAAAGGTTTTTATGAATAAATACAGACTTTAAATAGACTAAAAGATTGCACTGATCAGACTATTCTCCTCATCCCGTCCTGCAAAGTGAAGCTGGGGGCTGTGGATGGCCGGCAGCACCGCCCACCTCCAGCGTCCTGAGGCGCTCTTGCTCCTCCTTCGCCAGTTCTGCCGCCGTCTTCAGCCTGCTGGAGGGCTGCGCCTTCATTTCAAAGCCAAGCTCGCGAACCATCACGTCATACGCGTCGGGCTAAAGTAGAAAGAAGAAATTTTTTCATTTTCAAAATACATGTATTTCTTATTTTACAAAAAGAAAAGATCTAGCTTCCTGGCACATCTAGTAATGGCTGGACGATGTGGCTGGAGCGGCTGGGGCACACCTACGTCTCTCCTCCTAGAGAGAACACTCTTCTACTCAGCCTTGAGGATTGAGAAATCAGTGGATACTTCAGTCACAAATAACTTTACCCCTAGAAAAATTCTTCTCAGAATACATCTGCTTTAACAAAAACAGGCCAGGCACAGTGGCTCACAGCTGTAATCCTAGCACTTTGGGAGACCGAGGTGGGCGGATCACCTGAGGTCAGGAGTTTGAGACCAGCCTGGCCAACATGGTGAAGCCCTCAGTTTACTAAAATTACAAAAACGAGCCAAGCGTGGTGCTGCATGCCTGTAAGCCCAGCTTCTCGGGAGGCTGAGGCAGGAGAATCACTTGAAAACAGGAGCTGAGATGGTGCCACCGCACTCCAGCCTGGGTGACAGAGTAAGACCCGGTCTCAAACAACAACAGAAACACACTACTTATGTAGGCATGACGCCCGAAGCTCGGGAAATTAAGTGAAGGAGCAGTAACAGCAAGGCTGGCTCACAAAGATGTCCACATGCCACTAACCTGGGAAATCTAGATTTCTCTGAGCACACACTTACTTACACAAATGCAGCGTTTTGCAAGTTTAGACTACAAAGAATGCAGCAGGACATGAAAGCTGTTTAGAGGGAAAAGTCAATGGACATTAAATGCACGTGTCACAGGGAAGCTCAGACTGACGTGTTCACCCTCAAGTACTTCTTCATCCAGAAACACCATCTGGAGTTTGATGCACCTGGAACAGACACTGACATAGCTGAGTCTACGTCCACCCCAAGATTCCACGTATCAGTCATCTGGTTTCCTGTTCAGCAGAAACCCGCCCCGCAGCAAACAGCCGGGAGCAGCTCCAGCCCAGCCTTTCCCTGCAGCGAGTTGGCTGAGCACAGCCGAGAAAGGTGTTTGTTTCCACCGCTCCGCTCCCACCTTGGCTTTCTCCTTTTCATCTCTGTTGCCCGACTTCGGAGTTTTGTGAGACAGGAGAGTCTGAATTTCTTTCCAGTCTTGGTCTAGCTTCTCTGTGAGCTCGAGGGCATCTTCCCGTTGAGCTTGTCTCTCCCTCTGGGGAAAAAATAGCAGACACACAGCACACAGCATTACTACTGGACTTCAACCCAGAGGCCTACGTCAATGCTGAGGACACACAATGACCACTCCGTCAGCACCAGGTGCTTCAACAGAAAAACGCAGCCGGGAGAGATTCGTATCTTAAATGCAAAGCTACAAAATCTCATCTGACGCTCTCCTGTCATGAACCATCAATGCAGATGCTCTGAGCAGGGCACTGCAAGTGAATGAAACAGTGAGTTTTGGGGAACATGCCAGATACTAAAACCAGCCACAACACAAAACCCACCTGTGCCGGCTGCGAGGGCTCAGCCTGCGCTTCCGAAGGCCCAGGTGGGAGAACTGCTGAGGCCCAGGAGTCTGAGACCAGCCTGGTGGACACAGCAAGACCCCATCTCCACAGAAACTAAAAACATACTTCGCCGTGCATGGTGGTGCACACTAGCTGCTGGGCGAGCTGAGGTGGGAGGATCACTTGATCCCTGAGCCCAGCAGTTTGAGGCCGCAGTGAGCTTTGATTGTGCCACTGCACTCCAGCCTGGGCAACAGAGACCACGCCCCAAAACAAAACAAAACAAAACACGCACCACAGAAAGACAAAGGAACCAAAACTTGTCAGAGGCATATGCCTGATGTGATTTTAAAAATTTCTATTCACAGCCGGGCACGGTGGCTCACGCCTGTAGTCCCAGCACTGTGGGAGGCCAAGGTGGGCAGATCACAAGGTCAAGAGATTGAGACCATCCTGGCCAACATGGTGAAACCCCATCTCTACTAAAAATATAAAACTTAGCTGCGTGTGGTGATGTGCACCTGTAGTCCCAGCTACCCAGGAGGCTGAGGCAGGAAAATCGCTTGAACCCGGGAGCCGGAGATTGCAGTGAACTGAGATTGCGCCACTGCACTCCAGCCTGGTGACAGAGCAAGACACTGTCTCAAAAAAAAATCTATTCACGATAAATGCTGTTATTAAACTCAGCCTAAAAATGTGCAGGGAATGAAGTTCACACAACTGTGGCGAGCCTGCCTTTCCGTGGAGACGATGGTCCAGGATGTGCACTGACCCACCCACCTTCTCTTGTTTTGACTTGGCAATGAGCTCTTCAATCAGCTCTTTCCGGGACTTCGGTTTCTCCTGCTCCTCGCCTTCCTGCGAAGTCTTCCTGCGAAGCAGCTCACCGCCTCCTCCAAAGTGAGCAGCAGTCAGCTCAGCTGGGGGCGAGACACACAAACCCCACAGTGAAGCCCAGCCCTGGCGTGGGAAGCGTTTCCTGTAGCGCTCTGCCGGCGCTTCCCCAGAGCAGTCTGGAGATTTCCACATTTGAGAAAAAAAAGCTCACAATGCTGCTGGCCTCAGACCACAGGCACAATGGCACCTGAGGAGTACCCAGGGTGAGCCACTCCGAGAAACGGCGCCTGAGGAGTACCCAGGGTGAGCCACTCCGAGAGACGGCGCCTGAGGAGTACCCAGGGTGAGCCACTCCGAGAAACGGCGCCTGAGGAGTACCCAGGGTGAGCCACTCCGAGAGACGGCGCCTGAGGAGTACCCAGGGTGAGCCACTCCGAGAAACGGCGCCTGAGGAGTACCCAGGGTGAGCCACTCCGAGAGACGGCGCCTGAGGAGTACCCAGGGTGAGCCACTCCGAGAAACGGCGCCTGAGGAGTACCCAGGGTGAGGCTCTAGAGTCCTGAGCTAAGGGCAGGAGCAGGGATCACCCAGCAGGCCACCCATCTTCAGCCCGCCCTACTCACTAGGGCGGAGGAGAAATTCAACATTGTAGGAAGCATCAAATGTGGAATAAAAGAAACTTTAAAAACCCAATTTCTCAAACGAAAACAGAGGCTCAGATGGGAAATGATTCACATAGCCTCTCCAGCCCGGGGCTCCAGCATGCCAGCAGCTCTCTGGCCAGCAGGGAGGGTTCCCAACCTCCACTCCCTTCTCCAGCCCCTCCCCTGAAGTGCAGTCCCCCTGACTGACGGTGAGTCCCGAGTCCGCAGTCCTCCTCCCACTACCAGCAGTGCTCGACACATTCCTCACCCGCTCACCCTATACAGGCTTCTCTCCTTGGCTTCTAGCCCAGCCCCGCTGCCAGCGCCTCACTGTCTCCCCCTCTCCAGCTCCGAGGGCCGCAGTTCCTGCCATCTCTCTATCTACTCCTGTTCTCTCTGCCGACAGCATCCATCCTGTCTCCGGCCTGCACGCTCCCTGAACTCGACTGCCCCTCCAGCACCGACCCGTGAGTGCCTAACCAGGGTTTCAAACTCGCCCAAACCCATCTGTCCCAGTCTTCTCATCTCAGCGAACGGCAGTTCCACCTTCCCAGATGCCCAGGCCACACACCCGGAGTTGCCGCTGGTGCAGGCCTCCCATGTCTATATGTGATCTGTTGGCAAATCCCGCTGGCCTCGTCCCATCACAATACTATGTACTTCCTTGGCTCCAACACCTCGACTCCTTTTCTCGAGTGGGAGCAAAGTCTTGGCCAGGCATGGCAGTGCACACCTGTAGTCCCAGCTACTCTGGAGGCTGAGATGGGAGGACTGCTTGAGCCCAGGAATCCGAGGCCGCAGTGGGCCGTGGTCAAGCTACCGCACTCCAGTGAGGCTGAACAAGCCTCCACAGTGTCATGTGCCACCCTTTCCTGGTTTTTCCCCCACAGCACTTCCACCTTTGATCAGACAGCATATGTGGTGACATTTCGTTTCGTGTTTGGGTCTCCCCATAAAATGTGACCCGGAAGAGGGCACGGCTTTTTGTTCCCACACTGCCATTTCTCTGGAACCCAGAACAGTGCCTGGCACACATACCAGTATTGATAAGTGAACGAATGAATGATCCCTGCTTTCCAGAAATGAATGACTTCTTTCCTGGTAAACTCAGCATATCAGAAAACACTACTGTCACTATTCTAGTGATCCAAGGTTGATCACAATATTTTCCTTTTGTTTTTTTTGAAATATTTTATTTTAGGTTTGAGGGAACATGTGAAGGTTTGTTACATGGGTAAATCTGTGTCAAGGTTTGCTGGACAGATTATTTCGTCACCCAGTACTAAAGCCAGTAGCCAGCAGTGACCATTTCTGCTCCTCTCCCTTCCTCTCAGGTAGATCCCATGTCTGCCGTTTACTTCTTTGTACTCAAGAGTTCTCATCATTTAGCTCCCTCTGATAAATGAGAAAGCACAGTCTGTGCTTTTCTGTTCCTGTGTTACTTTGCTAAGGGGGATGGATGCCCTCCAGTTCCATCCACATTTCCACAAAGACATGATCTCATTCTTTGTGATGGCTGCACAGTGTTCCATGGTGTATATGTACCATTACAGTATTTTCCGAAAAGAAAGCTTTGTAAAATACCAACTAAAAAGCTTGTATTCATTATATAAAAGATTCAGAAAAGGATTTGATTAGAAAGCTTTTTTATGTATCTATTTATTTTGAAGTCCAAACAGTGTATTTTATAGTAGGTGAAACGTCTGTATTCACAGCGTGAAAGAGCACACAGCAGCTACAATTTAGGAGCCAGGCCGCCGGGCATTTGAAGCCCAGCTCCCCCCGGCTGTGGGGCATGAGCAAGTACCACCAACGCCTGTCCTCAGTCTCAGCTCCGCAGCTGCAGAGCGGGTAACACCGAGCTCACAGGGTAGCTTTTAAGATGAAATTCTCCTAATCTAAGCGAACATTCCATGTGACAGTTGAACAAAGAAGAATTTGTTCCCCATGACTCATTTAAAAAACTGCAGTGGTATATTTATTTTCACAAGTCAGAGGCTTTTCTTTTATAAAAATCACCCGAGTTCTGGCAAGCTCATAATCAAAATCAAAGGCTAGGCAGTCAGGACCTGTCACTCGAGAGACTGAGCCCTAATTCTGCTCCAGTAACCTGGGAATGTAACTTCAGCACCTCCTGGCCATGAGGGGAATGCACTGGCCAAGTTCACACCAAGGCAGCTGCCTTCAGTCTTGGGGAGTTAGGGTCTCCCCAGGGAATGCATTCACAGCTAAGAGCACACGGGAAGTCTCCAACAGTGGGAAAAGCAAAGAGGACGCACGGAGGCTAAAATAACCGGCTGTTTGCTATACACCTGTGAAGCCCGCGCAGTCGCGGGGCCTGCTCCCGGTGTGTGACAGATGGCAGGCTCTGCACCACAGGCTTGCTCCTTAACTCCTAAGCCTTTGCCCCTTGGATTAGCCAAGTATCGAAAGGCAGCCCAAGGCCTTAATGCCTTAACTTTCACACACTAACGAGACAAAGCTTCGAGTCCGTTTAGGTTTGTACAGCTTTGTTCTGAAGATGCTGGAAATGGAATCTACTTAACTTAGAAGAAATGCCAAGTAACTGAACCAGGACAGAAGCCTCATAAAGAGGGTGCGAGACAGTCGGCCCGAACCGAACCAGGGCAGAAGCCTCATAAAGAGGGTGCGAGACAGTCGGCCCGAACCGAACCAGGACAGAAGCCTCATAAAGAGGGTGCGAGACAGTCGGCCCGAACCGAACCAGGGCAGAAGCCTCATAAAGAGGGTGCGAGACAGTCGGCCCGAACCGAACCAGGGAAGAAGCCTCATAAAGAGGGTGCGAGACAGTCGGCCCGAACCGAACCAGGGCAGAAGCCTCATAAAGAGGGTGCGAGACAGTCGGCCTGAACCGAACCAGGGCAGAAGCCTCATAAAGAGGGTGTGAGAACTGAACCAGGGCAGAAGCCTCATAAGGAGGGTGTGAGAACTGAACCAGGGCAGAAGCCTCATAAGGAGGGTGTGAGAACTGAACCAGGGCAGAAGCCTCATAAGGAGGGTGTGAGAACCGAACCAGGGCAGCAGCCTCATAAAGAGGGTGCGAGACAGTCGGCCCGAACTGAACCGCAAACTCTGTTAATGTTATTTAAGGCCAACATTCATCTGCTTCATGTTGTTATCTACAGATATGAGGCTCAATATTATTTTCTTCAAACTGCCATGATTCCATAGTAAACAGAGGCTAAAAGAGCTGCATCAACACCTCTGGGACAAACACTGGGCTGGAATGTATATAACAGGGAGCAAGGTAGTGCAGGCCAGTGAGCCACCTGGGGTCGCCGAGGTGGGGTCTACCCATGGCTCTGACTCTGGTGCCAGGCAAAACACCTTATTTCTCTGAGCTCATGGGTGGAAGCAGCCACTGTGAGGTTTAAGTGAAATAATGGGTATCACTCGCTTTCTTAACCCATAAAAGCAGGTATCTATACACCATCTTAAAGTTCTGAAAACTTAAAAAACTTTCATGTGATAACTTTCTTGAGTCTCCAAGAAGAGGAGGAAGTCTAACAAAGAACAGACTCTCCCTGGCTCCATGCCCACAGGCCCGTGCAGGGCACCCCAGCCTCACCAGACAGCACCCCTCGATCCTCAGCGTCGCTGTCACTATCCACAATGTCATTATGCTTCTCGATGTCTGCCAATGATTGGCCATAATGAGTCAATTCCTCATCTTCATTCAGATTGTAGATGCTTTTTTTCTCATGATGTCGCTGACAGAAGAGAAAAAAGGTTTCCTAAAATGACCACATTCATTTCACAGGAAAAAATACATATGTGTGTGTTTCCATTATCTTTGGAATAAGACAGTGCAGCCTAAGCAGCCTTGAAGAGTATCCTGGGTCAACTAAGCAATGACTCAGACATAAACAGAACTCACGGTGGGGGGGATTCTTCAATAAACGCAGGGGCCACTATCCGCCCCAGCAATGCTGCTCAGGCCCCGGCTCTCCAGCCAACAGAGCCGAAGGCAGCAGCTCAGCTGAGCGCTCCTGAACACGCTGCTGCCGCACAGGAAAGACACGTATCTGTTCAGCTAACATCTGCAGAAGCGGCAGCCTCACTTTGGCCTAGGCGGGTAAGCACAGGGTGCAGGGGCTGTCCCCCGGACCTACGAGAGCCCAGGCGCAGGCGGAACGTGCAGAATCGGACCTCTCCCCGAGCCTGACTTCCCTGTGAATGCACAGCAAAAGCCCTCCTCCAGTTTCTGTGCATACCTGCTGTTCCAGAGCAAACCTCTTCATCATCTTCTCCTCGGGGGTCATGCTGCTGTTGTATTCGCCGAAGCGTTTATCTCTGAATACATTGGACTTGTCCCTTTCTTTGTACTCCTTAAGTAAAGTCTGTGTACGCTGCAAAACAGGTCATAACACAATCTCACAAAATACTCAGGATTTCCACTAAAGGGGACATGAGAAGAGCGCACACTTCGAAGTTCAGGGCGATGCTCAGTGACGTCAGAGTTCACACACAATCTGCTTTCCTCCATGACAGGCTTGCTCTACCAGCGACAGAATTTTGAGACGACCGAAACAACTCTCGCGATGATAACGGACCAATCACTTCCTTTACCTCTTTAGAGTCTGGCGGCCCCAAGAGGAAGCGTAAAAAGCACACCGGTCAAGCTCAAGGCCTGAAGGGCTCCCTCAGACATAACAGCTGCCTTATGGTTGAAGGAAGTGTGCGCCAGAATCATTTGGAAAAGTGGAAACAGGGTTAGACCCCTTCCATCATGGAGGAGGGCACCATTTCCCATCAAAGGCACCCCCACGGAATGTGCAGTTGTGGGTTCCCATTAGACACAAAGCCATACACGAGGGAGTCAGGCCACAGTCTAGGCTCCACCCTTTAGAACACCAAGAGGAGCAGCATTTTAAACGCAGACAGCGAGTATCAAATCATTTGCTACTTTCCCGGCAGCAACAAAAAGAAGAACAGGTTTAACATCACTCAAAGTTGGCTGTCCTGGAGGTTGAATTCCCTAAAGCTGGGAGAGGAGAGAGGTGGCTGAGGAACGTGTGGCCTCTGCAACCCGAGGCAGCCACACTGCAAACTCTTCCTCCTGCAAAAATTCTTCTGTTCGCTAAGAAACTGCCATCACACTGGTGTTGACAGCGATTCCAAAAGGAACCGGCACCAAGGCACAATCCAGATGCAATGGAAGGCCCTGGAATGATCCAACTCAGCACTTTACAGACCCACCGCGGCTCGGTGCCTTGGCAGACACCGGAAACTGCTGATCTAACCACAGACTTGAGCCTTCCCTGCTTCCTTCAGGGATTCCTCTAATCTGTGAAGTCACTTGGAAAGAATGTGTGCGTGTGGCAGGAGGGAGTATGTGGAACTCTGGTTCCAAGTTCTGTTTCAGAAGGAGACAGGCCAGATTTTGCTCCAGACACAGGTCACTTCCCCAGTGTTGGAAATGAACTTAAAGGCTAAGAAACCCACACTTAAGATGAAAACCAGGAGCTGGAAGAGGAGGAAAGGAGGCCGGGAGCGGTGGCTCACACCTGTCAACCCAGCACTTTGGGAGGCCGAGGCAGGCAAATCACGAGGTCAGGAGATTGAGACCATCTTGGCTAACACGGTGAAACCTACCAAAAATACAAACATTAGCTGGGTGTGGTGGCACGTGCTTGCAGTCCCAGCGGCTCGGGAGGCTGAAGCAGAATTGCTTGAACCTGGGAGGCAAAGGTGTGAGCCAAGAGTGCGCCACTGCACTCCAGCCTGGGCGACAGAGCGAGACTGTCTCAAAAGAAAAACAAAAGAGGAGGAAATGAGAGTGTCAGGGGTTAGGCAGCAGCTGGGCAAGGGCAGAAATACTATGGCAGGGGTGGAAGCCTGGCCCTCCTTTCCATCCAGAGCACATTCCATCTGAAGAGGCCAACTGAAGCATTAATCGTCCCCACAGGAGAAAAGGGTGTGAAAAACTGTTTCTCTGATCTCACTTTGGAATGTGAAAGTCCTAGTGGACTTAAAATGCATCCCCAAATCCCTCTGCTGCCTAAAGAGTAGGAAGCCGTCCATGAGTTCAGCAAACCCTTCCAAGGCGATTTTCGTCATCTTCTTCAAGAATGCATCGAGAACCAAGGTCTTTGCAAACAACCCGAATTCTTAATCCCCAGTAACCTCCTACTGTGTCAGTGTTAAACAATGTTTGTTAAAAACACGTGGGCACAACTTCCTGAACTGGAGTCTAAAGACAGCAAGTGTCCCCAGATAGACCAGAGGGCTCCGTCGTCACTTGAATTTAGGAGCCCTTGGTTGAATGTTATGAGACGGAGGAGGAAGGAGCCAGAACGAGACCCTGCTGGGGGCTGGTAGTGAACCATACACAGTACTGAACGAGGTTAAGCTCTCTGGACCTTCATCACTCTTTATCTGCACAGGAAAAATTTAAAACAACATCCCACTATTTAAATCACAAGGTCTAGCTGGCAGTCAGATGGGAGCCCATTACATGGCTAGCCTGTACTGAACGAGGTTAAGTTCTCTGGACCTTCATCACTCTTTATCTGCACAGGAAAAATTTAAAACAACATCCCACTATTTAAATCACAAGGTCTAGCTGGCAGTCAGATGGGAGCCCATTACATGGCTAGCCTGTACTGAACGAGGTTAAGTTCTCTGGACCTTCATCACTCTTTATCTGCACGGGAGAAATTTAAAACAACATCCCACTATTTAAATCACAAGGTCTAGCTGGCAGTCAGATGGGAGCCCATTACATGGCTAGCCTGTACTGAACGAGGTTAAGTTCTCTGGACCTTCATCACTCTTTATCTGCACGGGAGAAATTTAAAACAACATCCCACTATTTAAATCACAAGGTCTAGCTGGCAGTCAGATGGGAGCCCATTACATGGCTAGCCTGTACTGAACGAGGTTAAGTTCTCTGGACCTTCATCACTCTTTATCTGCACGGGAAAAATTTAAAACAACATCCCACTATTTAAATCACAAGGTCTAGCTGGCAGTCAGATGGGAGCCCATTACATGGCTAGCCTGTACTGAACGAGGTTAAGTTCTCTGGACCTTCATCACTCTTTATCTGCACGGGAAAAATTTAAAACAACATCCCACTATTTAAATCACAAGGTCTAGCTGGCAGTCAGATGGGAGCCCATTACATGGCTAGCCTGTACTGCTCGATGAACTCTACAGACAGAAGCTGCTTACAGGCTACACTGAGAAGACTTCTGAGGCCCGTCCCTGCAGCGGGAGGGAGAATCACCTGCTTCTAGCAGGAAGGAGGTAGATGGGGCAGGCATCAGCCATCTCTGCCTCTAAAAATGTGAGTTCTCATTATCTGGAAATGATTCTATGGATAAATCTTAGTGAAGAACAACCCTTAGGCTATAAAAACATAATTTTAGTTATTCTACATTATTCTGATTCTCTTCTTTCTCAAACTGTAATAAATGTCGTGACATTTTACTGAATTCACGGCATAAAATGGGGATAATAACAGTACTTCCCCCTCTTAAGGGTGAGGATAAAATCTAAACTGCTTGGCACAATGCCTGACCAACTGTAAGGGATCAGTAACCATATTATTAATATGGTTACTGATCAACAGCTATATTAATATTACTTAGTTTATAAATTATTTCAGAAATGAGGAGACTGAGGCACAGCTCTAAGGTGATACCCTGAAACTGGCAGTCTGAACAGAGCCTGCCCCCTTCCTGCCAGACTGAGTGCCTCCGAGTGCTACAACCGACCAGTAGAGAAACCAACCAAGACAGCCCGTTTCTTTCTTTCTTTTTTTTTTGAGACAGAGTCTCACTCTGTAACCAGGCTGGAGTACAGTGGTGCAATCTCAGCTCACAGCAACCTCCGCCTCCCGGGATCAAGCAATCCTCCTGCCTCAGCCTCCCATAGCTGGGACTACAGGCGTACGTCACCATGCCCAGCTAATTTCTGTATTTTTAGTAGAGATAGGGTTTCACCATGTTGGCCAGGATGGTCTCGATCTCTTGACCTCGTGATCTGCCCACCTCCTAAAGTGCTGGGATTACAGGCGTGTGCCACCGCACCTGGCCCAGCCCATTTATTTCTAAGGGAACAGCCCACATGACAAGACCTCCTATGTGCCACTGGCTGCACGTGCCCTGCATGTGTCACGGAGCTCCGAGTCAACTGAAGAACCTGCTGTCCCTGCTGAGCACCACACCTCCTGCAGGGCGTGACTATAATTCCCTCTAGGAAGAAGTTGTGGACTTTCCTATTACACTTTTTCCTGTGATCTGAGGCACTCAGGTTCCACTTTTGATTTCTTCAAATATTTGTGTTTCTACCACGGACCAAGCATTGGAGATCCAAAAAGGAGCAGCAATTCCTGCCCCTCTCCCAGGCCTTCAGCACAGAGAAGGGAGGTGGACCCGCTCAGTACCAGAAGTCTGAGCACCCTGTCCTGTTTGGGCCACACAGCTGGGGTGGTGAACCTGAGCTGGCCCTTGAGAGGCTCTGGGAGGTGGGGCAGGCCTTTCTGGACAAACCGAGCAAGACAAGACTCAAGGACAACAGCCACAGTGTGCGGGACTCGAACGACAAGCCGAGAAGGTTAAGAATGACAGTTAGTACTTAGAGCATACTTGCTATGTGCTGTATGTGCTATCTTATTTAATTCTCATAAACCACCACGAGGGGTAAGACGTATACTATTATCTCTACTTCAGAAATGAGAAACTGAGAGGCTTCTGTGGTGAAGACAAATGTGTCTATTCCCGGGACCACACTACCTTATTCTCCCACCCCTGCCCTGAGGTGTGTAATGAAGGGTTCTTATCAAAATCAGCTGTCAGTCTATCCTGCCTATTACACACGCTGTCAACTTTGTGCAGTTAAGGATAGTATCTGATTTAATTCAAAGACCACCCAGCTTGCACACTGTGATGGAATAGAGATCAGGAGCTCATGAAGGCAGGGGCAAGACGTATTTACCTTCATCTCCCAGAACCTAGAAGCAAGCTCCAACAGGAGCGCTCGGGGTACCAAGAAGGCTCTGCAGACGTTGAAATGTGGCCAGCCCTTACCAGCTGTGTGACCTTAGGAAATCTACTTGTCCTTTCTGTGCCTTAATTTTTTCACCAACCTACGACTGTATGTTCCTCAGTGAAAAAAAATTTTTTTTAATTATATTTAAAAAGCTAGGAAGCAATGAGTTTCCATAGCGTTACTTTCCAAGGAACAAGGTCACGTGCTTCAGGGAGAGCCGCTCAAATATCAAACGGTGCATCCCACACAACCCCTATCCACGGCCCCCAAACCCGCGGGGCCTTAAGTCTAAACGCGGAAGGGTTAACCAGCAGCTGTCCGGGGAGCCGCCCGCAGTGACTGACTCCGCCAGACGCGGTAGGAGGAGTCACCGAAACGACACGAGTGGAGGGTCTCCAAGAGGGCGAGAGTTTCCAAGTCATTCCAGCCCAGAGAGCAGCAGAGGCTTTGGAATTACAAAGTTAGTGCTGTGTCCCTGTCACGGCCTCCGCCACTCAGACGATAAAACCGACTCACAGAGAAAGTCAGCCGGCCGGAGAGCAGCGTAGGGCCCAGATCCTGCCGTCCGGCGCCCCTGCGCACCCCCACTCCCCGTTACCTTCCTGAGGGCCCGTGCGCGAGACACCCCGGGCAGCCCCACGTCGTGGCGCGTCTTCCGGCCCAGGATCTGGAACTTCTGCCTGTTGACTTTCACCTCGAACGGATTGGAGCTGGCCTTCGCCGGGCCCCCTCGCGCTCCCGCCGGCGCCCCGGAGAGCTTCCTTCGCGCCTTGACCTTCTTGGCCTTCCCCATGGCGCGCGCTCCGTTGCACCCAAGGCGCCGAGATCCTCTGAGACGCGGTGCGCGACACCCCGAAACACGTGCCGGACCGCGGATCCGCCTCCCTGCCTCGTCTCGCGAGAATTGCGCAGCGCCTCGGAGCTCGCGAGAAATAAACACCGCGCCCGCAGGCTTTTGCTCGACTTACTTGCCGATAGGCTCAGCAACTATAACTCCCAGCAGGCCACGCGCCACGGCCCGTCGCGTACTCCCGGCGCAGGGCCTTCTGGGAGCTGTAGTGCCCCGGGCGCGGCGGAGAGGTGCGCTCCCACTAGAGTTAAGCCGTTAGCGCCGAGCCTGCCCCGGTGCGGGTCGCGGCGGCGGCGCCCTTGCCAGTGAGCCCCTGCCTGGGGTGGGCCTCGGCATTGACTCGGGGCTACCCGGGGGCCCGGCCCTGAGGAGGGAGTTGAGCGCGCAAGGGGAGGGCCATGGGGCCGAGAAGAGCCGGGGTGACAGCGCGGCGGCGGTGACAGCTGGGCCCCGCCGCAGTCGAGCTGCCCCCTCCCCTCGCCCCGACCGCTCCCCTGCTGGCAAGGGCCGGCGGCGGCGGAGGCGAAGGCGGCGGCGCCCGTGGTGGCAGTGGTGGCGGCGGAGGCGGAGGCGAAGGCGGCGGCGCCCGTGGTGGCAGTGGTGGCGGCGGCGGCGGGCCAGCCCCCAGGGACCGTGTCCGGGGCCGGAGGAACGGGTGGCGCCGGGCGAGCTATGCGCGGAGGCGGCTGCGCCTCGCCGTGTTCCGCGCCCCCAGACTCCAGGGTTTCGCAGAATCCGCCGGTTGCAGCGGCGGCGCCGGGACATGGAGCTTGAGAACATCGTGGCCAACTCGCTGCTGCTGAAAGCGCGTCAAGGTGGGTGCGCGGCAGGCGCCCCCGATCGCCCCAAACAACCCCAAAACCCGGGGAACCCTGGCCCCGCTGAAGGAACCCGACATCCCCGGAGAACCCCGATTTCCCGGGAGAGCCCCGACACCTCCCACTGGGGGAACCCAGATCCGCACGGAGCCCTAGCCGGGGTCTGGCGGTGCCGTCAGGCTGCCCTGGCCAGGTCCCCAGTCCGCATCTCCTGGCCCAGATGAGAGAACTCTTGGTAGTCTGGCCCTGTGGCCTCTAGGTGTGACCTCGGTGACAGTGTTGCTTCACCATGGGGCAGGCAGTGTCCTGCTGGTGTCGGACAACCCGGCCCACCGAAGAAGAACCGCGTCTTTATGGTCTTCAGGCGGACAAAGAAGAGCAGCCTGGAAACCACTCACGGAAACCACCTTCCGTGAACGACTGTAGGGCAATGTTATTTTTAACATAGCTGCTTGGTTTCGAGGTTTAATCCAAGGCTTTATGGTGTGTCAAGTGCGCTTTAGCACGACGTGGTGACAGATGGACAAGCTGGCAAGCATTCACCCTTTTATCAATATGGAAGTATCAGTTGACCAACTTTTCAGCGGGAGACCCCCGCAGTCCTCTGTCTCAGACCTCATGTCTCCCTTTCTTGCCTCTCTCTCTCTTTTTTTTTTTTTTTTTGAGACTGAGTTTCGCTCTTATTACCCAGGCTGGAGTGCAATGGCGTGATCTCGGCTCACCGCAACCTCCGCCTCCTGGGTTCAGGCAATTCTCCTGCCTCAGCCTCCTGAGTAGCAGGGATTACAGGCACGCGCCACCATGCCCACCTAATTTTTTTGTATTTTTAGTAGAGACGGGGTTTCACCATGTTGAACAGGAGGATCTCGATCTCTTGACCTCGTGATCCACCCGCCTCGGCCTCCCAAAGTATTGGGATTACAGGCTTGAGCCACTGCACCCGGCCCCTTTCTTGCCTCTCAAGAGAGCAGGCAACAGAGCCTCGGATCTCAGGTCCCCGTGCCAGCCACCGTGGTTCTTCACGCCCCTTCCCTCTTACAGAATTGGTGGTTTACTCCATGTCCTTGTGATGGAGCAGCTCTGCTCGAACTTTGTGCTCCAGGACGGGGTAAATACCGACTCAAGGTGCCACACCAGCCAGCCTGCATGTTTAAGACAATCTGGAGCTGGGGGTGGTGGCCACGCTTGTAGTCCCAGCTACTCTGGAAGCTAAGGTGGGAGGAGGATCGCTTGAGCCCAGGAGAGTCCAGCCTGGGCAAACACAGCAAGACTATCTTTTTTAAAAAGTTGAAAACAAGGCCGGGTGCAGTGGTTCATGCCTGTAATCCCAGCACTTTGGGAGGCTGAGGTGGGCAAATCACGGGCAGGAGTTTGAGACCAGCTTGGCTAAAATGGTGAAACTCTGTCTCTACTAAAAATAGAAGCAATTAGCTGGGTGTAGTGGCAGGTGCCTGTAATCTGAGCTATTCAGGAGGTCGAGGCAGGAGAATCACTTGAACCCGGGAGGCAGAGGTCACAGTGAGCTGAGTGTGCCAGTGCACTCCAGCCTGGGTGACAGAGTTGAGATTCCGTCTCAAAAAAAAAGAAGTCGAGAGCGAAGACTTCACCTTCTCCGTATTTTTGTACCAACTCACACTGTTTTGAATGGAAGAACTGAGAATTGTGGGGGGAGAAGAGAATGGGATCTTTTTCCCTTAAGACACCTAGGGAGTCCCAGAGCGGTACACATTCTGATCAGCCTCGTTTCAGTGGAGCATTTCGCTCTGCCTCTTGTCCCTCACTCTGAACTCCAAATTGGTCATGGAAGAGAATCATCCTTACTGGAAGCCAGATTGGCGCTCAGCCAGTTTTCTTTTTACACTACCTTCCTATCTGCATATAATTTACGAAAAGGAATTCTACCAAGCTGACTTCCTTAGAATGCTGCCGAGATTAGATAATGAGGTAAACGTAAGTGCTCTATAAATGCTGGGCAACATGATACCAGATTCTGCCACAAAGCCTAGGACCACAGTGATAGTCTGAAAAACAAAAGTTTTAATTTCTTTCCCTGAAATATATTAGCTCTGTGGTGTGTGATTACGAGGTCTGCCTCATTGAGTGAGAGCATTTGCTCCTGTGTTCAAAAAGTCATTATGTACACTTTGATTAATGGTTAGAGAGTTGAACATATCGTATTAGAAATACATGGTTATATGCTGAGTGTTGGTTATAATTTAGGGCTGTTTTTCCAAGTTGATGTCTGCATTTGTTACTTGCAAGTATCTCCCAGGAAGTACCAGGAGGTGTCTTCTTGGACACGGAACTATTCGTGGACAGACATGAATAGTTTAGCTTCTTTGGCTCATGTACTAGAAAATTCACCTTTGAAATGAATGAACATAGCACAGGAGTTGCATCCTAGTCCTGAGAAGTGCAATGTTGATTTAATATCATTAGTGAGTCTGGTCATGTCCTGGATTGATTTCAAATAGATTCAGTCAATCTTAGTCCTCCAGCCTCTGGTCCCTCCTATGGTGTGAATGTTTGTGTTCCCCCAAAATTCTGATGTTAGAATCTTAGGAATTAGGAGGTGGGGCCTTTGGGAGGTGACTGTGTCATAAGAGAGGAGCCCTCGTGAAGGGGATTATTGCCTTTATAAAAGCAAGTGGAGAGACACCCCTACTCCTTCCAAAGAAAGCGCCGCTGAGTCAGAGTGGGCCCTCACCAGACACCGAATCTGGCTTGATCTTGCACTTCCCAGCTTCCAGAACTGTGAGAATTGCTTGAACCCAGGAGCCAGAGGTTGCAGGGAGCTGAGATCACACCACTGCACTCTAGCCTGAGCAGCAGAGCCAGACTCCATCTCCAAAAAAAAAAAACAGATGAAGGCAGCCCGTAGAGGGGATCCTGGGGCCTTCTCACAGTGTGGCCCCATTTCACTGCCTGCTTTTGGGGACCCCAGAAACTTTCCCCTGACAGTTTTCAACCCCGTATGCTGCCCAGACTTTAGTGTCTGTCGATGATCTTCCTTTTAAATGCCTGTGGCCCAGTCAGCCACCATTGACCTCGCCACGGACCCATGACTCATTGTGCTCTCCATCATCTTGCCCATTCCTTTACCTTCTGGCCTGCTTGTCTTCACGTGGTATCAACAGCGTAGCCAGCCCCCCTGGAGTGTGACCAGGCCTGGGCAGAAAAGCAGGAGAGTGCTGTGCCAGTGGGGACTTTTGGAACCAAGGACCACTGAATGAGGGGTGGAGTGGCTGCTAGGGTTCAGCACATAGGCCCCAAACCTGTGGGGAGGGCCCCCTTCTTCTCTCTCTTTAACCTGTGACACTCTATCCCTTAGACCAAGCCAGGGGACCTTGTATCGCTGTGGTGTGCAGCTCTACGCCCCAGATCTAGTAATATTTTGGGGGGTCTCGTGTTTAGAGGTACGCAGTGTGTGCACTGCTGTGTGTGTTTGTTATTACTCTTAAAAAAATTTTTTTTTTTTTTGAGACAGGGTCTCACTCTGTTACCCAGGCTGGAGTGCAGTGGCATGATCTTGGCTCTCTGCAATCTCCACCTCCCAGGCTCAAGCGATTCTCTTACCTCAGCCTCCTGAGTAGCTAGGACTGCAGGTGCATACCACCATCCCTGGCTAATGTTTGTATTTTTTATAGAGGTGGGGTTCCATCATGCCCAGGGGTCTTGAACTCCTGAACCAAAATGATCCACCCACCTTGGCCTCCCAAAGTGCTGGGATTACAGGTGTGAGCCATCACACCTGATCTTGTTATTTACTCTTCAGACAAGTAAGTGCAGAGTCAGGTGCTGGGTGCTGAGTTCTCCCCTCTACCACCTCACCAAAGCCACCCTTGCCAAGTCACAGGGATTGGCTCTTGGTCCTTGTCTTGCTGCCCCATGGTCTGCGCTGGCACAGCGCGTCGTGCTTTCTTCCGGGAGCGTGCTCTTCTCCATCATCACGCTTCCTGTTCCACTGCTTGGCTGGTCCCCCAGGCAGTCTAGACTTTATCTTCTAGACCTTTAAATATCAACTGCCCCCCATCTTCGTCCAGGGACTTCTCGCCTTCTCCATCGGCACTTGCTCCCTTCTGCTCTTGGGGTACCATGGCTTGAAACAAGCTACTGTCGCTCCAGTCCACGCCTGTGGGCTGGACCTCCCCACTCACGTTGCGGCTCACTGTGCTGCTGCCTACCTGACATCGCCACATGGAAGCCTCATTGGTACCAGAAAGAGCCTACACCAGACCCCCAATACTCACCAGCACCCCGATGTTGTGTCTGCACCTCAGTTAATGCTGTTAGTGGAGCTGCCCTTGACTTCCTCACATGCCGACTCAGTCCTTGGCCGGCGTGTTCAGCCTTCGCTTCACAACGCAGCAGAATCCACCCTTTCCTCACCTTCGCCACGGTGATCACGGGGCTCCAGCCGTCAGCATCTCACCTGGAACACTGCGGCCAGCTTCTGCCTTTTCTCCCCGGCAGTTCTCAGCACAGCAACCAGAGCGATCCCACTAAAATTTAAGTCAGGTTGTGTTGGCCCCTCTGATCCCTCTTCATGGCTTCCCAGACAACTCAGAGTGAAAGCCGTGGCCCCTGCAGTGGCCTGGAGACCCCGCTGCAGCCTCATCCGCCCTCTCACTCTGCCTCGACATAGTTTCCTCTCTCTCGAGAAGTTCTTCCAGGGTTTATTCTCTCACCTGAGGAGTTTCCTGACCACTACCCCTCCCCTCATTTACTCTTTTTTTTTTCTTGGAGACAGGGTCTCCTAATGTTGCTTAGGCTGGCCTGGAACTCCTGGGCTCAAGGGAGCCTGCCTAAGCCTCCCCAGTAGCTGGGATTATAGGTGCACACTGCCACACCTGGCTCCCATTTACTCTTTATTTTCCCCACAGCGCTTGTTATTATCTTAGATCCTCTAACTTTTCCTTGTATTGTGCTCTTCAGGCTTTTTCTCTAGAATGTAGCTTTATAAGAGGAGGAAGTTTTACTTGCTCTGTTCACTACTGCATTTGCAGTGCCTAGAACAGTGCCTGCCACACGTCGACGCTCAGTGAATGCTTGCTGAAGAAATGCATGAATAGCAGTTAAGATCGTGGACTTTTGAGCCAGCCAGACCTGGCTTTATAGCTCAGCGCCCTCTTTATGCCATCCTACGACTCTGCCAGTTACTTCCCCTTCATTCTAAACGGTTTATTGTGTGCCAGGCACTCAGCTTGGCTCTGGGGATACAGGGATGAATGGAAACAGACGACTCTCCCCTCTGAGAAGCCAGCAGTCATGGAGGAAAGTACTTTGCTCAGGGAACATGGAGGATTGTCCAACCCTGGAAGTGGGTACACCCTGTTTTTGTTGTTTTTTATTCTGATAGTTTTGGGGTAACATGGTATTTTGGTTGCATGAAAAAATAGTGGTGATTTCTGAGATGTTGGTGCACCTGTCACCGAGTGGTACACCTGTTTTGTCTGCTGCTGGGTCACGTGGCCACTTAAGTACAACTGGGGCAGACACTTCCTGGCAACAACTCTGCATCATGGGAGTGTGTCTCGGATCAGCATAGGACAGCTGGCTGGCCGTGCCACATCTGCCCCTCTAGCCACCAAATATCCATGCACAGAAGTATTCCCTTACAGGGATCCTAATCTCTCTTCAAAGACCAGAATGACCTCTCTGTTTCCTCCATGAGGGCCCGCCATGGCTCCTCAGGATTCAGCAGCCTCCACAAACAACCAAATGGTCTTCCCTCCTCATGCCTAATCTACCGTGGGGAGCAGAGGCAGGGTGACTATCGTAGAAACTCTCTTTTAGAAAAGGAAGAACGGGGTGCCCTCAGTAGACACTGGTCCGTCCGCGAAGGGGCCCTGTGGGGGTGGGAACATTCCTTGATTCATGCCCAGATTTGCCCTCATCTGTTCACCGTGTGCCATGGCCCCTCCCCCAGGTCATTTCCTCCTTGAGCCAGCTGAGACGGACAGGCACGTGAACCTCCACAGGTTTCTTGAGCAGTGCTGAGCTTTGCAGACGCACTTCTACTGATTTAAGTTTATGGGCTTGAAGGTTGTTTGAAGGCTCAAGCGGTTCAAGGTTGTCTTCATCCTCGATCTGAGTTCTTCAGCACCATACTTCTCCCAGGAACATAGTGGGCTTTTGCTCTTGTTAAGCTGTTTACAGTGGCCATTGGCTTGTACTGAGCTCCTGTACTAGGCCCAGCAAATCAAGCCAAAATGGAGTCACTCATGCTAAAGTTCCATGTCACCATGCTGAAGGTTGTTTGGCCTTCCGAGAAATCAGGAGAGAGTGATACAGTAGCCACATCCCCAAACAGGCCAGTGACACCTGGCTGGGTTGTGACAGTGCTCCGGCTCAGCCACAGCTTTGCTCCAGAATTGGAGCAGGTACCAGGAGCAGTGAGAGGCCAGGCAGTGGGAACGGGCCCTTCCGAGCCTGCAGGGGCAGGGGGGGCTTTCTGGACCTGAGAGCACTGGGATGCCCAGGTTGGCAGCTGTGGCTGGGTGGCTGCAGCTGCTCTTAGTAGTGCCAGCTTTCCGCTCCACCAGCCCACAAGGGGGCGGGACTCCCACCTCTTCCTGGCTCCCACCGGCCGTGGCCACTGCTGCCATCACCACCTCACCCAGGTCCTGTCTGCCTTGCTGCTCGGCTCCTGAGAAGGTGGAAGTACCGGTCCTAAGCCTACAGTGTCAGGCTTCGGAAAGGAAGCACGTAGCAGCCAGGCTGCCATGTTTCTTGCTAGTTACTTGAGTAGTATAAAGTTTGGGAGAGGCCAGGAACCAAGAGATAGTGGAATATGAATAAGAGCAAGAGGGACTTGATGTCTACCCAATGATTCGGCAGCTCGGGCACAGAAGCACCACTGAAGACATAAGCCATGTCTCAGGGCACTTGTAGATCATGCTTGTTGTCCACTTATGGAATCCAGAGGGCAAAGCAGTACATCCGGCAAGTGACACCTCAGCTCTGTACTCCTTTAAGAGGTCAGATAAAAATGGCGTATCCCAAGGAACAGTTCTCATTTCAACTGAAGGAAGACCCAGCAATAGCCCTGAAAAAAAAAAAGACCCATAAACAAAGATGACGGCCTTTTTTCAGTACCTACTGCTTCTCTGTAATGCGTTTCTGTGTTCTCCATGAAGCGACAGGAGAAGCATGTTCCCCTTTCCCCGCCCTTCAGTAACATGGGACATGGCTGTCACCGATACCACATTGAAGCATATTCTCTGTCATTGGCAGGTGGTTGTTACATGTTTATTAAGTAAACAAATCTTAACAAAAAGAAAAAATGTGGACTGGATTTGAGGGGGAAGATAACGAATCTAAGGTGGACGTGTTGAATGTCAGATGCTCTGGACATCTGGTGGTGAGGAACATGAGTCCAGAGCTCATGATCTCAGCTGAGGTATTGAGTTGGGGGAGTAGACGAGCGAAACAGGGGCTGAGCAAGACACACGCATCTTCGATGGTTATCTTTTTGCAGATATCAAGTCTGTATCTCTAGCTGAGTGTCTTCTGGGCTCATCCCAGTCTACCCATCCTCCAAATGTCTGTCTCTTACAATTTTTCACACACACTGTATTTAAGACAGAGTTCGTCATCTCCCAAGGCAATGTGGCTTTTCCCCTGGTGTCCCAGTTCTTCCAAATGGTCCTGGAGTCTTAGCCACCCAGCCTAAGCCATTATGTTCTGGATATTTAGGAAAATTTTAGCTGCCTTGAAGGCTTGAGATTGAAGATTTCTCTGAGTTAAAGAAAAAAAATGGGGCTTGTTGAAGAGATCTTTCTAAAGTATAATAGTGTAGCCTTTTCCACCATTCTTGTTTCACCACAGATGCTCTTCTCCCAGAACTTCCCAAGGCTGTCACTCACATCCTTCAGGTCTCTGCCCAAATGTGACCCTCGCACGGAGGTCTCTGATCCTGAGTCAAAATGGCACCCTCCACCTTTACCTTGCTTTTGTCTGTCACTGTATGACTGGCTGTTTTCTCCTTACCACTTATTATCTGATTTGTGCATCTCTCTCCTTATATTAGTCCGTTTGCACATTGCTATGAAGATACTACTGGAGACTGGGTAATTTATCAACAAAAGAGGTGTAATTGACTCACAGTTCTGCATGGCTGGAGAGGCCTCAGGAAACTTACAATCGTGGTGGAAAGCAAAGGGGAAGCAGGCACATCTGACATGGTGGCAGGAGAGATTGAGAGGGAGACAGAGAAACAGCATAGGGGAAACTGCCACTTTCAAAACCATCAGATCTTGGCTGGGCGCAGTGGTTCATGCCTGTAATCCCAGCACTTTGGGAGGCCGAGGCAGGTGGATCACAAGGTCAAGAGATCAAGACCATCCTGGCCAACATGGTGAAACCTCGTCTCTACTAAAAATACAAAAATTAGCTGGGCGTGGTGGTGCGCGCCTGTAGTCCCAGCTACTCTGGAGGCTGGGGCAGGAGAATCGCTTGAACCTGGGAGGTGAAGGTTGCAGTGAGCCAAGATTGTGCCACTGCGCTCCAGCCTGGCGACACAGTGAGACTCCATCTAAAAAAAAAAAACAAAAACCCATCAGATCTCCCGAGAACTCCCTCATTATCATGGGAACAGCATGGGGAATCCGTCCTGATGATCCAGTCAGGGGACTCCTAGCAGGTCCGCCTCAAATGCATGTGGATATTACGTTTGGGATGAGATTTGGATGGGATACAGAGCCAGAGCATCTCACTCCCCCACTTAGAATGCAAGGGAGGGACTTTGTCTTTTTTACCATCGTACTCCCAGTGCTTTGAAGGTGTTTGGTACATAGGAGATGCTCGATAAATATTTCTTTGTTAAATATTTGTAAGCAACCCTGAACAATATGTCATATTAGATCTGATTTACAGATCTGGAAACTGAGGCTCACCATGGCTTCTGGATGGCAGAGCCAGTGACAGATTGCGTCGCCCGGGAATTTTATACTTCATTAAGCAGCTTTCCAGATAAGAAAAATTATAAGCATGCATTTTCACTCATCATAGGTCCCCAAACCCCTCAAACAGAAATGATAAGATGTATTAGTGGAAGTAGTTCTTCTAATTGGATATTTCTGACTGTTAAAAAATTGCCTTTTTTTCTCCCCAATTCAGGAGGATATGGCAAAAAAAGTGGTCGTAGTAAAAAATGGAGGGAGATGGTGATGCTGCCTCCCGTCAGCCGGTGCGGTGAGCTCAGACATTCCGTTGGTGAGTGAATGGCGCCTCCTGTGCCTGGACAGTGCAGCTGGCGTTATGCCATTCACTAGATGTTATTCTTTCTTGAGTTCCGTATTTGTTTCAAAAGTTTTAGGACAAATTCCCCTTATATCTTCATGATTCCTCTCAGGAAAAAGAAAAAGAAAACCCTTTAGATTTTCTGATCTGCAGTTATAAAGTTGGCTGTTGGCTTGAAAAAGAGAGGGAAAAAAAAGAAAAGAAAAATTTCTAATGATCTTCAGGAGAGGATTAGTCAAATAAAAATATGGTGTATCAATATAGCAGAATACTCTGCAACTATAAAGGATGAGAGGTAGCTACAGGTCCTAACCTGAGCGTAGGAAGTCAGATATAGAATCCTACCTATAGAGCAATTATAACTACTTTTTAGAGATAGAATTTTCCGTTCAAAGGGCACATGCATTTAAAATGTTGATGCTGCTGAGTCACCCCAGGAGATTGCCTCAGTTTACCTGTCTGCCAGCAGTGTGTGAGCAGCTTTCTTTGCCACACCTTGGCTAATACTGCCCGTCATCAGTGTTTTAATGTGCACTCAACCGGGGTTTGAAAACGGTGCCTTCTCTCTATTGTGGGTGGGGTAGAGCACTGCCACGGGATTTTTTACACTTTTCCTTTTTTTTTTCTAATTTGTTTATAAAAGCTCTTTATATATGAAAGAAGCTATCCTTTTATATCCAATGTGGGTATATCTTATACATTTGCTTTTTTCCCTTTGGCATACAGTGTCTTTTTCACACAGAGGTTTTAGTATTTTATAGAGACAAATATGTCAGCCCTTTTCTTCTTAGCTTCTAAGCTTTGTGTTACCTGTAGGAAGGACACATTTATTCCTTTTTATTTTTTATTTTTATTTTTTAAAAGAACGGAGTCTCGCTATATTGCCCAGGCGGGTCTCGAACTCCTGGGCTCAAGCTATCCTCCCGCCTCTGCCTCCCTAAGAGCTGGGGTTATAGGTGTGAGCCACAGCGCCTGGCAGGACACATTGATTCCAAGATTATTTCTACAAACCAATTCATCTTTCCTTTAACACTGTCGTAGTTCCTTTTAAAGAAAGTTGAAGTTTTTATCAAAATTAGTTTCAGGTGGCATAAAGGAGCCATTATTTCCCTCATTGTTTTAGCTCCACTAAGTTCTTTAAACTGCTCCCTGAAGATGTAATTCATACGCCATACTACTCATCTATTTAAAGTATATAATTCAATAGTTTTTAATATACTGAGTTGTGACACTGTCACCACAATCAACCTGACAGCATTTTCAGCGCCCTGGAAAGAAATGACACGCCCACTGGCAGTCAGTCCACACTCCCTCCTGCTGCCTCCGAGCCGGGCAACCGCAGGTCCACTTTCTATGTCTTTGCCTGCTCTGGACATTTCACATAAAAGGGAATCACGTACTATGTGGTCTTTTGTGACTGTCTTTTTTTACTTAGCATAATATTGTCAAGGTACTTCGTTCTTTTCCTGTTACGGAATAACATTCTGTTGTATGGATATATCACATTTTCTTTACCCATCCATCGGTTGACAGACATTTGAGTAGTTTTCTACTTCTGGCTATTATGAATAATGCTGCTATGAGTATTATGTACAAGGCTTTTAAAAATCATGATAAAATATATGTAACAAAAAGAACTGTCTTTAAGCGTCCGTATGAGTGACATGAAGCTGGGTATTGCATGGATATGCTGCATTCTGCTGATCTGTCCGTCTGCTGAGGGACACTGGGGCGTTCCCAGGTTTGGGCTGTGTGAATGATGTTGGGAACACTGGTGTGCAAGTTTCTGTTGGAGTCCCTGCTTTCACGTATTGTGTGTGTGTCTTCAGGAGTAGAATTGTTGGCTGGGCATGGTGGCTCACACCTATAATCCCAGCATTTTGGGAGGCTGAGGCGGGTGGATCATTTGAGGTCAGGAGTTCAAGACTAGCCTAGCCAACATGGTGAAATCTGGTTTTTACTAAAATTACAAAAATTGGGCTGGGTATGATGGCTCAATGCCTGTCATCTCAGCACTTTGGGAAGCCGAGGCAGGTGGATCACCTGAGGTCAGAAGTACAAAACCAGCCTGGCCAACATAGTGAAACCACATCTGTACTAAAAATGCAAAAATGACCTGGGTGTGGAGGCATGCACTTGTAATCCAAGCTACTTGGGAGGCTGAGGCACGAGATTTGCTTGAACCCGGGAGGCAGAGGTGGCAGCGAGCTGAGATTGTGCCATTGCAGTCCAGCCTGGGTGACAGAGCGAGACACTGTCTCAAAAAAAAGTAGAATAGCTGAATCATATGGTAATTCTGTGTTTAACGTTTTGAGGAGCGCCAGACTCTGTTCCAAGCTGCTGCACCACGTCACGCCCCATCAGCCATGTGTCCAGCTGCTTCACATCTTTCCCACTTTTTCTAATCCCAGTGGGCGTGAAGTAGTATCTTACAGTGTTTTGATTTGCATTTCTCTAATGATTAATGATGCTGAGCATATTTTCATGTGCTTCTGGGCCATTTGTAAACCTTTAGAGAAATGTCTGTTCAAATCTTCTATTCACTTTAAAAATCGGATTGCCTTTTTGTTGTTGAGGTTTAAGAGATCTTTATATATTCTGGATATTAGATGCTTATCAGATAAGCAGGAGAATTGCTCAAACCTGGGAGGTGGAGGTTGCCTGCCCTACAGCCTGGGCAACAGAGGAAGGAGACTCTTGTCTAAAAAAAAAAAAAAAAAAAAGAAGAAGAGGAAGAAGAAGAAATACTGTGAAAACAGTGAGTCTTAGGACGGCGTGTGGTGGATTGTAATGGTTGCATTTGCTTGCTTCTTCTCCCTTTTCTTCACCCAGGAAAGGATTTTAGCAGTCTTTGTGACAAGCAGCCGATAGGAAGACTTCTCTTCAGGCAGTTCTGTGATACCAAACCCACCCTAAAGAGGCACGTGGAATTCTTGGATGCAGTGGTAAGCAGTTTATCTCTTGAGATATATTGAGCAGCCCACCCAATCTTGAGCTTTTGAAAATCTAAAAACTAGCCCTGGGCAGTGATGTAGGAGTGGACGGACTGTCATCTTGGTGTCATATTGTCTTCTTAGTACAGAAACCCTTTTAGTAGAAAGTGGTATTTCGTGTAGAATTCCATCTCACGTGTTGGAGAATCACATGTTGTCGTTGAATGACTTTGAAACTGGGGCTTTAACTTGTGTGAAGATGACAGGCTAAGATGGCAGTGCTTGGTCAGCCACCTGAAAAGTGTCCTTTCTGCACTCAACTGGCCAGTGCTCTGAACCTAAGAACACTTTAACCCAGAAGCACGCGGAAGGGATACAGTTTGTATGGGAAGAACGACCATGTTGGCTGCAATTTACTGCATTCAATACATTTTCTAACATTCCCATGTATCCTGTTTGAGTTTTACTGTGATTTCCTTAAAGAAATGTTATGTTTCTAGATCTTTATGGACACCATTGGCAAGCCTACAACTTCAAAACTATGAAATTCAGAAGCAAGTGACCAATAGAAAATTGGGAGAATTTGGCCGGGCGCAGTGGCTCACGCCTGTAATCCCAGCACTTTGGGAGGCTGAGGCGGGTGGATCACAAGGTCAAGAGATCGAGACCATCCTGGTCAACGTGGTGAAACCCCGTCCCTACTAAAAATACAAAAAATTAGCTGGGCATGGTGGCGTGTGCCTGTAATCCCAGCTACTCAGGAGGCTGAGGCAGGAGAATTGCCTGAACCCAGGAGGTGCAGGTTGCGGTGAGCCGAGGTCTCACCATTGCACTCCAGCCTGGGTAACAAGAGCGAAACTGCGTCTCCAAAAAAAAAAAAAAGAAAAGAAAATTGGGAGAATTTAACAGAAAAGTGCTCTTACTTTTGTACCAGGGTTGTGACCCTTCTCGCAGCCTCGGTCTGTCCTAGTCATATCGGCAAATACGTCTGGAGCACCTGTTACATGCAGACATATGTTCTATGTCACGTCACTGAGTTTGAATTTCTTTTTCCTCTGACACAGCTTTTTAAAACCTTGAGAGTATATGTTTACGTGTGATATGTTCTTTCCGAAAAGCATTTGCGGCTGTTTTGTTGTTTGCTTCCTTCCCCCAGATTTCTCCCAGTCCTTTCCTTTCTGGCACTGTTGCTAGAATAAGGTGATTCCTCTTCTTTTTCTTCTTTTTTTTTGGAGATGGAGTTTTGCTCTTGTCCCCCAGGCTGGAGTGCAATGGCATGATCTCAGCTCACTGCACCTCTGCCTCCTGGGTTCAAGGGATTCTCCTGCCTCAGCCTCCCGAGTAGCCTGGGACTACAGGTATGCACCACCACTCCCGGCTAATTTTTGTTATTTTTGGTAGAGATGGAGTTTCCCCATGTTGGCCAGGCTGGTCTCGAACTCCTGATCTCAGGTGATCTGCCTGCCTTGGCCTCCCAAAGTGCCGGGATTACAGGAGTGAGCCACTGCGCCTGGCCAGTTGTTTTTGAAGCCAGAGTTCCACCGTGGTGGGGCATGCCTACTCAGTTCTGGGATGGAATCTGTATATGTTTTCATGTAGTGGGTAATGTTTGCCAAGCTGCCATATTTTAAGAATTTAGGGACCTACTGTTCTTCCTTAGGTAAAAATAGCCGAACTGCATTGCTGAAACTCTATTTCTTTTTAGTCTTCTGATATTGTCATGTTACCTATCGTCGTGAGGTGACAGCCATTTGACTGCGGTAATGGGTTATGTTTTTGCTTTTTCTATAGCCGTTCTGTAGGTTCAGAAATAATGCCCGACTGGGCTATTTTGCTGCGCTTCCTGCTTTGACTATCCTTGTGACAGGTGATGACAGGCTCTGTGAGCTTCTCCAGTGAAGGGACCGTATCTTACTCATTCCCCTCTCCTGGCGCCTGGCATGGCTGTTTGCCCTGTTTCTTGATCATTGCATGAATTAATGGCATCTGTATTATTCAGCCAGAGAAGCAGAACGCATAGGAGATAGATAGGACATTTATTGTAAGGAACTGACTTACACAGTTGTGGGGTCTGGTTAGGAAAGTCTGAAATCTGTAAGACAGACCATCAGGAGGGGCGCGGTAGGACTCTGGAAACGGGCTGAAGCTGCTGTCCTCAGGCAGAATTTCTTCCTCTGGGAAGACTCATCCTGTTGATAACACCTTTCAACTAGGCGTGAAGGTTGGAGTCACCTAGATTGTCTAGCATCATCTCCTTCACTTGAAGTCAGCTGATGTGGACTGTGGTCATGTATGCAGATACCGTCACAGCAACACCTGGATTTGTGTTGATTGAATCATGGGGACACCGCCTTCCCGGCCGGCTTGTTGAGGCCCTCGCAGGATCAGACTTGCTTTCTCTTCCGTTAGTTGCCTGCCGCACAGTATCCAGGGCTCCCAGCACCTGAGTGGTTTCTTTTTGAGACTAAGGCTCGCTCCATCACCCAGGCTGGAATTGAATGGCTCCTTCTTGGCTCACTGCAACCTCCGCCTCCCAGGTTCAAGTGATCCTTCTTGCCTCAGCCTCTCCAGTAGCTGGGGTTACAGGTGTGCACCACCACATCCAGCTAATTTTTGTATTTTTAGTAGAGACAGGGTTTCACTGTGTTGGCCAAGCTGGTCTTGAACTCCTGACCTCAGGTGATCCGCCTGCCTTGGCCTCCCAAAGTGCTGGGATTACAGGTGTGAACCCCCATCCCCACAGTTAAGTTTAAAGGTTCCATAAGTAAACAGTATACTCATTATTTGTCATGTGAGTACAGTGCCCTTGAACGTAGAAGGTGAAGCTGGGTCTGTCTGGGTCATCAGGCTGATGGTCATGGACCTGCTCTGGGCCTGTGAAGGATACGGGATCAGTAGAGCAGCTTCCTTCAGCCTTCACTTCCTTCCTTCTCTCTTCAGCTGCCATCTGGCTTTCGGCTTCACTACTCTTTTGAGGTCCGCTACGTGCAAAACCCTGTAGCTTTCTGTGAGGCACCCTCATGCTGGAGTTTCTATGGCTGCTGACATCACTGACTAGCTCCTTCTGGAATTCTCTTACCTGGGCATTTATGACCTCTCCTTAGGTTTTCGTTTTCTCTTGTCAGTTAGTTTCCATTCTTCTTTGTGGTCTACCCTCTGTACATGCTTAGACGTTGGTCAAGCTGTGCTGACCGTCCGGCTGGTTTCTGGCCTGGACGATGCCACCCACTCCTGTGGTCTGTCCCCTGCACTTGTGTGCAGATGACCCTACTTTGCTATCACCAACTCTGACTTCCCCTGGGAGCTTCGGACCCAACTTCACAAGTGTCTCTTGGACATCTGGAAATGGCCATTGCCTAGAACAGTTTAAGCTCTTTATTTAGACACCTTTAATGGATGAAATGTCATATGGCATAGAAAGTAGTATGGGAAGCATTGCTCTAAACCTTCATTAACCTCCTTTGAAAAACTGACTTCTTCCCCTCTCCTACCCCTTGCTTTCCCAAAGAAGAGCTCTAGATACTTGATCAATAGAGTCGGTCTGTGGCTCTGAGGATATCAAACCAACCCTGTAAGTCAAAGAATTTGGAACATTATGGAACCTTATTGGTGAAGAAGCTTAACTAACTTTTTTTAAGAGATGGGAGCTCACTGTGTTGCCCAGGCTGGCCTCGAACTCCTGTGCTCAGGTGATCCTCCCAGCCGCGGCGTCCTGAGTAGCTGGAAGTAGGTATGCACCACCACACCTAGTCAACTGCTCTCTTCTTCTCTTCCGTCTCTCCAATCAGGCAGAATATGAAGTGGCAGATGATGAGACCCGAAGTGACTGTGGACTGTCAGTCTTCAATAGATTCTTCAGTGATAAGGTGTGTTTTCTTGTTTATATTAAAGATTTATAAAGAGATAGAGTACATAGCCCTTTTTACTTTGTCAGATAAAATATAACATATATTAAAAGCGTTAATTCAGCTGAGTGTGGTGGCTCACGCCTGTAATCCCAGCACTTTGAGGGGCTGAGGAAGGAAGATCTCTTTAGCCCAGGAGTTTGACACCAGCCTGGCCAACATAGTGAGACCATCTCTACAAAAAATAAACAAAAAAACTAGCTGGACACAGTGGCGTGCATCTGTAGTCCCAGCTACTTGGGAGGCTGAGGTGGGAGAATCGCTTGAGCCCAGGAGACTGAGGTGGCTGTGAGCCAAGGTCACATCACTGCATTCTAGCTTGGGTGACAGAGCCAGACCCCGTCTTAAAAAAATAAAAACTAAGATCAGGCCCAGTGGCTTATCCCTGTAACCTCAGCACTTTGGGAGGCCGAGGCAGGCAGATTGTTGAGCTCAGGAGTTTGAGACCAACCTGGGCAACATGGCAAAATGCCATTACTACAAAAAAGGGAAAAATAATTAGCTAAGCATGGGGGTGCACACCTGTGTTCCCAGCTACTTGGTAGGCTCACGTGGGAGGATTGTGTGAGCCCAGGAGGTTCAAGGCTGCAGTGAGCTGGGATCATACACTCCAGCCTGGACAACAGAGTAAAGACCCTGCTTCAAAACCACCACCCAACATTAATTAATCTTAACAAGTTTTACTTTATTGTAGATGTTTCTCTTTTGCATTTTTGTTTGATGTCATGAGGAAATTAACAATTAAATATCTTAAAGACATTGATTTGGCCAGGTGCAGTGGCTCACGCCTATAATCCCAGCACTTTGGGAGGCCACGGTGGGCGGATCACTGGGTCAAGAGATTGAGATCATCCTGGCCAACACAGTGAAACCCCGTCTCTACTAAAATACAAAAATCAGCTGGGCGTGGTGGCACATGCCTGTAGTCCCAGCAACTCGGAAAGCTGAGGTAGGAGAATCGCTTGGAGGTGGGAGGCGGAGGTTACAGTGAGCCGAGATCACGCCACTGCACTCCAGCCTGGCGCCTGGTGACACAGTGAGACTCCGCCTCAAAAAAAAAAAAAAAAAAAAAAGACTGATTCAAAATACTTAAAAGTTGCAGAATATAGAGTTGGAGAATTTTATTTGTCTCTCTTGGACTAAAAAGAACATTTTTTTCTAAAAGCTTGAATGGGTCTTAGCTTTTAGGTTCTTGTAGTTAGTATGTCACTGAAATTAGAGCTGTTTCCTTCACATGTCTTCTCTTAGAAGTTCTCAGTTCCGGGCAGGGCCCCATGTTGAAGGGATGGAAGAACAGGAATAGGAATGAGGGCAAACATGTAATTACTACTCCAGGCTGGGTGCAGGGGCTCACGCCTGTAATCCCAGGACTTTGGGAGGCCAAGGCAGGCAGATCATTTGAGGTCAAGAGTTTGACACAAGCCTGGCCAATATGATGAAACCCTGTCTCTACTAAAAATACAAAACTTAGCCAGGCATGGTGGTGCACGCCTGTAATCCCAGCTACTAGGGAGGCGGAGGCACAAGAATCACTTGAACCCAGGAGGTGAAGATTGCAGTGAGCTGAGATCACTGTTCAGCAAGTGAGACGCTGTCTCAAAACAAAACAAAACCAACCAACAGTGCTCTAACACGTAGTACATTACGTAACTATCACAGCAAACCGATGAGGTAGATACTATTATCAAGTCTGTTTTTGTATGGTAAGACTGAAAATCCGCGACTAAGTGGCTTACCCAGTGTTACACACTCAGTAAGTGACGGAACCAGGGATCAAACATGTAGAGAATGGGATTAGAGAGTAGTGTGGTGAGAATGAGTTCAAAGTATTTGGGTTTGAAGCGTAGCCAACTGCATAGAGGGCCATCAACTTAGGGGAGCTTTGCTGTAAAAACGATAGAGCACCAGAGGGGATGGCCAGCACAAATATCCATGCAGTGGGTGGTGTCAGAGGCATGGTTCGGACCCTAGTGAGTTTCTGCCCCAGCCTCCAGCCCCACAGGTTACTCTTCTCAAACACAGCAGTTACAACATGCGCATATTTGTAGGTACCTTCGGGACACTAGTTGGAATGAGTAGAAGTTTCATTTATCTGGTTCTAATTTTTAATTTTGTTTTGAGACAGAACCTTGCTCTGTTGCCCAGGCTGGAGTGCAGTGGTGCGATCTCGGCTCACTGCAACCTCTGCCTCCCGGTTTCAAGTGATTCACATGCCTCAGCCGCCTAAGTACACCACCACACTTGGCTAATTTTTGTATTTTTAGTACAGATGGGGTTTCCCCATGTTGGCCAGGCTGGTCTTGAACTCCTGCCTCAAGTGATCTGCCTGTCTCGGCCTCCCAAATTGCGGGGCTTACAGGCATGAGCCACCACACCTGGCTTCCATTTATCTAGTTATTTTGTCTTTTTTTTTTTTTTAACTCCCTTTTCTTTTTTCACCTCTCCTGAAGAAATACCCAGATAGTAAGGGAGGGTATCAAGAAGAAGGAAATAATTATAAAGAGAAAAGAAAGGATTTCAAAGTGAGTGATGGTGGCTATGGCACATGTGGAAGGGAAGGAAAGGAAGTCACACATGGTGGCATGGTGCCGTAGTCTGTTCTGAGCTGCTGTAACAGAATTTCATTCATTCATTTATTTTAACTTCTATTTAAGTTCAGGGGTACGTGTGCAGGTTTTTTTATGTAGGTAAACTTGTATCATGGGGTGTTGTACAGATTATTTCATCACCCAGGTATGAAGCCAAGCACCCATTATTTATCTTTCTTGATTTGCTCCGTCCTCCCCCCTCAATCCTCCAATAGGCCCCGCTGTGTGTTGTTCCCCTCCATGTGTCCGTGTGTTCTCATCATTGAGCTCCCGCTTACCAGTGAGAACATGTGGCATTTGGTTTTCTGTGCCTGTGTTAGTTCGCTAAAGATAATGACCTCCAGCTGCTTCCGTGTCCCTGCAAAGGACACGATCATTGTTTTTATGGCTGCATCGTATTCCACGGTGTATACGTGCCCCATTTTCTTGATCCAGTTTATCACTGATGAGCATTTAGGTTGATTCCATGTCTTTGCTATCGTGCATAGTGTTGCAATGAACACATGCATGCATGGAGACCGGGTAATTCCTAATAAAAAGAAGTTTCTTGGCTCACAGTTTTAGAGGCTAGGATGCCCAATTCAAGGTACTGTTGACCCAAAAGGAAGAAGCTGAGACACAAAATGTAATTTTATTAAAGAGTTGAAAAAAAAAAAAAAAAACTGGCCGGGTGCGGTGGCTCACGCCTGTAATCCCAGCACTTTGGGAGGCCGAGGCAGGTGGATCATGAGGTCAAGAGATCGAGACCATCCTGGCCAACATGGTGAAACCCCGTCTCTACTAAAAAATACAAAAATTAGCTGGGGGTGGTGGTGCAAGCCTGCAGTCCCAGCTACTTGGGAGGCTGAGGCAAGAGAATTGCTTGAACCTGGGAGGCGGAGGTTGCAGTGAGCTGAGATCGCGCCACTGCACTCCAGCCTGGTGCCTGGCGACAGAGCAAGACTCTGTCTCAAAAAAAAAAAAACACCAGAAGAACAAAAAGAGTTTACAGCCAGGCGCGGTGGCTCACACCTGTAATCCCACCACTTTGGAAGGCTGAGGTGGGCGGATCACCTGAGGTCAGGAATTCAAGACCAGCCTGGCCAACATGGTGAAACCTCTCTTCTACAGAAAAAAAGAAAAAATTAGCTGGGTGTGGTAGCACAAGCCTATAATCCCAGCTACTCGGGAGGCTGAGGGAGGAGAGTTGCTTGAACCCAGGAGGCAGAGGTTACTGTGAGCCAATATTGTGTCACTGCACTCCAGCCTGGGCGATACGGTGAGACTCTTTCTCAAAAAAAGAGTTCACTTGAGCCAAAGTAAAGGCAGCTGCATGGGACACACTTCCAGGTCGCCTTGGGAGGTGCTCCATTGGTCTTGGCTACTGGCAGGCTTTGAAGGCAAAGGAATGGGCTGATACAAAGTCGTTTGACAGGAATTCTCACTGATGTAAGAGAGAACAGTGATCGGTGATTGGCTATGCATTGTTGAACGACAGAGTGAGAGTATGAGTTACGGGGTGCAGTATATGGCATTTATAGAGACTTGGCATCAGTCTAGAGACCACTAGTATGTGGCTTCAAGACGTAATTATTTAGCTCAAGGGGCAGTGAGACATGACTGCTCTGGGCCTGATAATCTGAAGGGGCTCACCTTCCTCAGATAAAAAGCTTTCTTTCCCCCTCAGTGCCGGCCTCTGGCAAGGGCCTTCTTGCTGTATTGTCACATGGTGGAAGGGCAGAGAGAGATTGCTTGCACACGTGTCTGAGCATGTGCACACAAAACAGGGCGAACCTGCTCCAGGATAACCAGACAAGGGCATTAGTCCCTTCATGAAGGTGGAACCTCTTCAATGCCTCTTAATGGTCCTGCCTCCCAGTGCTGTCACAGTGTCAATTAAATGTCATCATGAGCTTTGAGGGGCCCGGACAAACGTTCAGATGATAGCACTTGGTAATAGAGGTGTTTATGGGCTGCCTGAAGATGGTGTCGCTGGAGAGCTTTGTTTTTCTTTTCTTACCACCAGCTGGGGAAACTGCCACATTCTTCCTCTTCCCACCTGATGGCCCTGCTCTTACGCTTTACTGAAACAAAAAACAAACAAATAAAAAGCAGTGATTCACATCATTATTGTAGTTTTTCCTTTTCTTGTCTTTTATTTAAAACCAGCAACATGAGTACCCAACGTTAAACAAGCAAACCAGCAACAATAAACTTCTCTTCTTTGACACCCTAGAAAGGGAACCCCTCGGCTAGGTGGGTGGCTCGTGCCTGTAATCCCAGCACTTTGGGGGCCGAGGCAGGAGGATCTCTTGATGCCAGGAGTTCAAGAAAAGGGAACTCCTTGAGGTCACTTCCTCAAATTTCAACAACCCAGAATATCCAGAGTACCTG